TCAAACATGTGACTCCTTTGAATGTTTTTGATATGCATATTCTTTGGTTCAGCTCTTTGGATGTACTTGGTTAGCCCAATTTGCCCACAAGACTTATCTTTGTATGCACTCTTCTGTTATATCCAATGTGAAAGTGAGTTGTCTCTTGTTTTTCATATTTCATTTGTTGTAATCAATGAACTTGTTAATCATCTTGTTGTTTCTTTCACTTATCTTTATCTTCACTGTCCTACTTATTTAGACAAATTAGTCCAAATTTGGTCTCATCCTCAATGCATGGACTTCACCTCAAAAAAATATGGATTTATCCTGAAATCAGTAACTTACATTGATGATCAATGGAAATATGTTACACATCACCTTTCCATGAAGATGATTGCATGGCACCATAAGGGTGAGTGGTTGGTGGAGCCATTGATCAATATGTTGGTTGAAAATAAACTCTACTCAAAGATGACTATTTATTTTATCTTTGTATCATTTTCAAATCTGTTTTTTTCTCTCTTGGTCAAATTTGAATGAACTTATAAGGCTTACAAGTGGTTATGTTGGAATCACAAATGCTTGCACAGCCACAGAATTCAGGTAGCAATAATGATACCTGTGCTCGTGCAATGCAAGCCCAATCATCAAAAGTGGCAGCAGATGAGTACAAACCTTTTAATTTTGATGAGTGTACCAACCAAATACAATGTTCTTGGCATCAAGTGGCATCAATAGTGAATGGAGGACTTCAAGCACTAGGAATCAAAGCCCCTCTGTCCCCACTCATCAAGTCCACCATACTGGGCAAGTTTCCTCTGGACAAACACACTATGCCTTCAAGTTTGGAAGAGGATGAAGAAGGAGAAGTAAAGGCCAAGGAACACAAGTCTGATGAAGATATGAATGAACCTGATTCAGATGATGATGAGGTTGAACTTAACAACATAGCTGCAAAGATGTAGCTGATAATTTGTACAGGGTGATAGACAGACCATTCGAAAATGTCTTAATGAATCAGATGCACCTGATGCCATTAATTGTAATGAATCCTGTCAGCTAGGGCATAAGTCACCCAAGTACTTATAACCTAGCTGAAACGTAAACTCGTAAGATACCTTATCTTCTCAGAACTATTTCTTATTATATCTCTTATTTCATTTTACATCTTTTTCTCTCATTAATATTTTCATATTCTTTTCTCACATTTTATAATTTTTCATTACTTCTTTTTCTTTCATATTTCTTAAATTAAGAATCAGGAGTTATGTTAAAGTGTTCTGAATTAATCAAAGAAGATACAAACTTATGAAAGAAGTATGATTCCCAGTTATGATCCTCGAATTGGAGTGATGACCCAACTTGAGTCTCAGATACAACTAAAACCTGTCAGGTATCAACATGTGATGAACGTTGACTGACAGTCTTGGATTTTGTATACCTGGATTAGGTAAAATATCCTATTTTTGATTAATGGACTACGCTTAGCGGTTGGAAGCTTTTTACGGAAAACCACTGATGAGAACTCTACATTACTAATAGTGACAGAGTTGCGAGGAACACTGTTCAAATTATGTAACAACCAACTATAGTCTAAATATTCCAAATGTTGTGTGCGCGGTCATAGTCAGAATGGGTATAAAACCCAGTTGTTTCGTGCTTTTTATTGCTTTTCTCTTCATCCTTGGTACTATCAATCAATCTAACAAACTAGTTATTTGCTTTATAAGCTTGCCGCGACCAAATTCCTCCAGTTACCTTTAAAGTCTCTTTAAACCTCTCTGGTTAGTAATAGCCTTGCATCAAGTTCATATCATTTTACTTTCTTGTTTGATTCTTTGTTACAAAAAGTTTTGAAGTTTATCAACAGCACCCTTCTATTTCGAGTTACTTCACAACTCGGGAAGTGTGCTTGTTGACAAATCCAATGTGGTGTATATGTATTGACTCTTAATATTATGGTATGTGTTTTCTCTTTCTCTGTATGATTTATTTGCTGACATATCCTTATCTGCTTTGTAGCTTAATGAAATAGATTGTAAAATTGGAGGATCATCAAGAATGTTGGCTGTATTTGATGCAACTTGTGCAAGTATGGGAGTCAAGCTTCCCCAACCTATTCCTGGTTACGGAATCCAATGGAACATAAAACTACAATGTTTAGCCAGGCTATTCAATGCTCAAGAGGTGAGTATCTCTATTTACTTGTTTCTTTTCATCTGAGACTGATTTTCTCTCTCACAGGTCATCAACAGGACCCTCAAAGACAACCGGAAGGAGCTGTCACAGGGTAAAAATGGGAAATATCAAAACCCTGAACTGGGACCCAGTGATTCTGATTTGACTCAACCCCATGGCATCTTCAACAAGGCTCACATTTCTCCAGACCAATAGAATCAGGTGGGTAAATTGATTGAGGTCCTTTGAGAGAGTGTTTTTCCTTATTTATCTCCTTCCTTATGCTAATTTTTACTTACAAATTCTCTGCATGAAGTAATTTGAATCATTTACTAAAGTCTTTGAAGCGGATTCCCCAACTGGTCCCCTAGTTATTTGAGAATACGTCAAGTTGAAGAGATTATTGCAAGGTAAAATCAATTCTTCCACATCCCAAGCCCACACTTTATTTCTGATGTATCATGTCATTCATGTCAGGGTCAAATCTTACTTAGCAGAAACCCTCAAATTGGACGTCCTAGTCCTAGCCACTATCCTCCACCCTTCCTGGCAAACTGATTACTTTCATTTTGCCTCTGCGCACAACTCAGAAGAACTCAATACAGCCCAAGCTTTATGGTAATTGGCTTTTGATATCTGAAAAGCAAAATACAATTCTGGAAAGAAACATGATGGAAGCAACAGTGATTCTAATGATGGTGAGGAGGAAGACAAAGACAGATTTTGTGCACACAGGAATAAGGTTCAGACCTGGACTGAAAATGAGCTCACCAACTATTTTGAGCATGTTGATGAGCCATCTAAAGCAGTAGAAAAGGATCCACTTCTTGCTCTAGAGTGGTGGAAGGTAAGGTTTTTTTCTTAATTCTCATATTGTTATCACCTACTGACAAATTCTATACTGCCCAGGTCAATGCTTAAAGATACCCTATCTTATCTTCTCTTTCCAGAGACTACATATGTACTTGACAGTCTGTGGATCATCATGCGCTGTGGAGACAACTTTCTACTTTGGTCCAAAGATGGTACATATTGAGATACGAGGTATGGAATTCAAGAATGTCAGATCTGCATGGTCCAGTCTATGACTTTATGTTCAGAGTGACTCTCGATAAAACCTCAGGATTTTCCATATAAGGATTGGTCATTACATATCGCAACCTTGTATCAGTCGGGCCATCCTTGGAGATCTCGAAGTGTCAGTATCAGCTTTGACAAGGTCTTGAGTTGTGTTTGGGTACACATTACACTCTTTCCAGGAAGGCACCTCTTTTCGTGCTGATTTCTAACGACAAGACTTTGATTGACTTTGCGTTGTCCATCAAAGTCAAGGTTGAACTTGTAGGTGCGGTCATGATGATTTCAGGCACCTCGAGCGTCATACTCTTTGCGCAATGTGCACCCCTTGTCTTCAGGCTTGAACACGCCGTCAAGATACGTCATGAACAAGGAGGTTGTAACTTGTCGTGGGGTTTTTGTTAAGATTAAGAATGGACGGTGAGACGAGGATGAGAAGCCAAACGATCGAAGGTATCACGTGACTGAATCCGAAAATTTGTCTCGGGACAAAATTTTAACAAGTTCTCAGGCTCCATAACCATTTTAATACACTTGTTCATCTATAAAACGTTTAACTGACGGTAAATATATCGCTTCTGATTGATCTTAATGAATCGCTATCTGCTGCACTTCAAGATGTTTTGCTTCTTCATCTCGATTTGATGATTGTACCCTCTTGATCGAACTCAACTAGATATTATACTGTAGCAGCGGGAGACTCGCAAACTATATTCTTGGCTGAGACCGACAGAGTTGAAATTTTCCTTCAAGTCAAGAATTTCTTTTGGATTTTTCGGCTCAAGTGGAAGAATTTGCCCACACAACAGGATTCGGAATAACGATGAAGTCTCATACTCAACTCCGAGGTATGTCCATGTATAGTGTTGCTCGTAACCTCTTGAAATCGCCAGATGCGGATATTTTCACTGTCCTCGTCTAGGGATCCTTCACCCGTGAGTCTGGACTGCCTCTCACACCAAGCATAAATCGCTGCCTTTTAGTCACATCTCCTTGTATTATCCCCAGGAATTAATGTTTACCGTTTTGTACACAATCTTTGCTCATTGCCAGCTTGCTAGTAAACTGCAGAGACATTGACTCATCACACCCCAATGAAATCTTTACGTCTAGATAATAACGAATCCCGGGTCTTGGTGATTTATACCGGAGGTCAGTACTGAGTCTGTGAACAGTGAAAGACGGGCGGATAGAGTGATTGAAAATGTTGTACAAACCTGAATGATAGGCACCATCGGCATGCTTTCCGGCTCGCAGGGCTATAGTCCGCTACCTGGATATTTGACTGAGCAGTAAGTCTTTCGTCACTTCTGCTGTTTATGAGCCCAGCTGAAAGATTGCTTTGCAGTTTGCGATCTCAGCCTCGCTTCCATGATCCAAGTTCCAGCTCCCTCGGGGCTAATAGTCGATCGGTTGATGCTTTTCGCAATTGGCAATTAAATTCACCTGCTGGCACACCACCGTCCACGGGAAGCCATTCTGGAAGTTGTTCCAAGTTCAATTGTGGTTCCAGTTCTCGATCAGAGGATGGCGAAAGTCTAAAGATTGAGACTGCATCTGCAAGCAATATGAATAAACTTCAGGTCATCACTGATGCAGGTCCCAGATGGCTAGAAAGCCTTGTGATGCCTGAGAGTCCAGAGTGCCCTAAGATCAGGTCAGGCCTATCATTCTCTAGACCTCTCAACTGGTAGAAGGCAACAATTGAAAATTATGCTCACTCTTTCCTGATCGTCCGACAATTCATTCGTTACAATCGCAGATACGCCATCTTGGAATACGAGAGGTTGATCGATTCATCAGAAATCGAGATTTCCGACTACTTACAAATTTGCCACTCGATACAATCAAATTATCATGCCTTTGATGCATTTGTAATTCTACATGGAACAGACACAATGTCCTACACTGCTTCCGCAATTTCCTTCCTACTCGAAAATCTGGGCAAGAGTGTAATTTTGACAGGTGCTCAGATACCACTTTCCAATCCACGGAACGACGCGGTTGACAACCTATTGGGAGCACTACAGATAGGTGGAAGCTACCTCATTCCAGAGGTTGCATTATATTTTAATCATCGGCTATGGCGTGGCAATCGGACGGTGAAATTTAGTAGCGTTGAATTTGATGCGTTCAAAAGTTTCAATCTTGAACCACTGGTCAAAGTGGGCTGCAACGTGGAAGTTCGTTGGGATCTGGTCAACAAGCCGATTGATCGACAAGCCTTTAAGGTTCATAATGCAATGTGTGGAAACGTTGGTAAATGAGTCCAGCCACTGATTGATTTGTTCTCACAAGTCACTCCACCATGTTGATTACTTGGATTCCTCTTATATATTTTGACAGCTGTTCTTCGGATTTTCCCAAGCATTAGTCCGGCATCAGTCCGAGCGTTTCTCCAGCCACCTCTCCAGGGCATTGTCCTGGAGACCTTTGGAGCAGGAAATGCGCCTAAAAAGCTGGAACTACTCCAAGCATTCAAGGAGGCGTCAGATCGTGGCGTGGTAATTGTAAACGTGACTCAATGTACCAAGGGAACAGTTTCGAGCGATATTTATGAAACAGGAAGGGCCCTTGCTGCAAACGGGATTGTCAGTGGAAGAGATATGACGACTGAGGTAAACATCATATCATCATCTTCTTTTTCAGATAAAAATGGTAGACTGAAATCAGACCTTGATTCACAACACTTGCATTTAATGCGAGGCGTGCCGACATCGTAGTGTGCATTAGCAAAGCTAGGATATCTTCTGTCGAAGCCAGGTCTCTCGATCGAGGTGATACGAGAACTGATTGGTCAGCCTCTGCGTGGAGAGCTTACGCCACCTGCACGCATTCAATTTGAGCCCTCGCACGACAGGCTCAGGTGGTTGATTAGTCACTTGGCAGACGCTAGTCATGATTATCGAGCACAGAATCAAAACCCAGTAAACGGTACGGAAGAGATGTCTGCGCCTTCAATACCGACTGATCGAACTCCCACCATTCCACGCGTGTTGATCGCACCGATGGATTCAGAAGCCTTACCAAATCATAACACAAAGGCTGAGCCGACTGTCGACTCCTTGCCTCAAGGAACTGCCAATGCGTCTGACGTAGGACTGAGGCTCATTCGATCACAGATCAGCGGTCAAGAACTGGAGCAGGCCGAGAACTACCTGATCCCGTATGCACTTGTAACCGCAGCAGGTCGTTCGGATGACTCCTTAGCTCGACTGATATCCGCGGGAGCAAGAGCAGGAGCCCTCAACAAGCGTGCCTCCACTGGCCTCGGTCAGACTGCCCTTCACGTAGCCGCTTTCCATGGTCGACTTCGCAATCTGGAGATCCTCTTGGATCATGGTGCATCTGTTCATCTTCGAGATGATTTCGGACACACTCCATTATATTACGCTTTGTTGAATCGTCATCATGCTTGTGCTGAGGCTTTGGAGAAGGCAGGCGGACACCTGATCGAGTCTGAGAAGACCTTGGGAAATGTCTCAATATGACGGTTTCTCATCTAGTCCAGTCTCCACTCCTTCATCTTTTTGAGATTCTTCTATCACTGATCGCACATTTTTTCATATTCATGTCCTGAAATCTTGTCAGCATCCTTGCCTTTTACTTATCTTTCATTTGTACAAAAGGGAGATATCAAACAGCCGAAAATAGATTTGCAAACGTAGATGTAGAGATAAAGCTTGATCTTGCCAAGTAGAATATCAGAAATATATTTTTGTTGAGCATCCATTATACCATTGAGGAAGGCGATTACATCATCCTCAAATAATCTGGGATCCAGGTATCATTAGGGTACAAAAACGGTATTTGACAACTAACGCCTTTCGGATAAAAGCTAGAGGGTTCGGCTATAAAGACCTGAGATCGCGCCAGCCCCCAGGCGGCAAAAAATTCGACCCATGCTGGGATTGAACCAGCGATCTTTCTCTTGCGATCCCCCGCGGGGCCGGAGGAGAACACCTTACCACTTGGCCAAAGGGCCTGCACCGTTACTTGGTGTGCGCGCTATACATAGCTATATGTTACTATAGTTTCATCAGGCGATGAAGGAGTTATATCATGCGCGCCCATTCAGAAGCAATGCAGGCAGAAATCTAGATTCATGTGGAGTCTTGGGAAATTCAAAATCTCACCCGGAGGCACACAGCTAGAGGAATAGTGCATTGGGATCCCCAAAAACTCAGGTGTGTAACATGGTGTCATAATAGTTTGACGAGGTTTTTGAAACATGAAACGTCTGAAAAATATCTTACAACTTCAAGAAATGATTACATACGAAATGTAAAGAATAAAGGGCGGGTTACACATAAATAAGATGAGCATTTAAATTGAAGGACAGAACTTCAAGGTTCGAAGTAGTTCATGGTTAGATAACACCAAAGATCCCTAGAAGTTCCAAGAGCTTCCACCATCCTGACATGAAGGAGAAAGATTTCCGATCATGAATGTTGAAGGATTGCTGCTGCTGTCCAAATACAGTTTCAGGTTCGGTTTCGATTTCAGTGGGTTCTTTAGTTTTTTGGATTTTGTCTTCAATGGCTGGTAGTGGTTTCCAGCCATCATGATGCCTGCATCAAACAAATATAAACATTAGGTTAGAATCGGGCTCAAGATGAAGAATAATGAATGCCAGACTGACTTGGGTTTGCAAGTGAAGCCTTTCTTGGTAACTTTACAGAGTGTGAAGCTACGAAAAAAGGAAGGAACATCAATTCATTTTGGGTAAGTGAGTGGGGACCACGCGAAACTGAAGTGGTGGTACGTACGTTCGTAAATTGCACTTTTGAGCTTCGGTTGCTCGATCATTACATTGAGGTAATTTGCCAGGTTCGCAATCACATTTATCATGAGCAAAAAACCCTGTTGATGGTTCGCCAGGTAGTTTGAGAGATCCAAAGAATCACATCAGTAAATTTGAATGCATGCTCGGTTTTGCTAGATGGAGAGTCTCCTTCTTAGGAAGAGGGGACCAGTGCGAAAGATAATCAACTTGTACGAACACATGTCAAATGTGCCCTGGCTGATGAAGCCAAAAGCAGTGGTTGTACTATTGGGAGCCGACGTATAACATTCGTCTACCGGAAAATCGGACTTTTGCAACGGTTTGTATTTTCCTAATTGGATCATCGTAGCGGACATGATAGCGAGTGTATGACGAGGAATATCATGATGTGCTTCAGGACAGCTAAGGCCTTGATCTGGCCAGTCATCATCGAGTTCGGTGCAGCTGTAGCTGGAAGGTAGCTTTGGACACGTATCGGTTTGCGCAAGTCCCATGTGTCCACCGCCCAAGTCAACCCGAGAAATGATCGAGATAGGCAGTGCGAGAAAAAGAAGCACTGCTGACAGCCGAAAGGACATGATGATCGTGTTTGTGTGTAAAAGTTGATTGATGAATTTGGTGAAGACACTGATGAAGTGCGAATGGTAGAGATAGGACAAGATGAGATGGTTTGGGATAAAGAGGGAAAGGGAAATAGCTCAGCTTGAATTCACATGGAAAAGAGTTTTATGATATTGGAATTCTATTGACTATCTTCGGTTGTCGGTTAAAATTTTCTCTCCGTAGCGATCAAACTTGAACTTTCGTCCACACAAAATCAAACAATTCTTTCTTTTTTTCACCTGTTTTTTTTTTGATCAAATCTAATCTGAAACCGGTTCTCCATGGAAGAGTTCGTACACGCAAATCATCACCAATCCTCTTCTCCACGGCTGTAATCGACCCTATGTAATCTCAACTTCAGGGCTTCTTTTTTGATCAGCAAAAAGACAACTTCGAGCGTGATATTCACAGCATCAAGGGTTCATCTCTATGTATCGACCAAAGAAAATCTCCACCGAACCACATGCGGCATGCGGAATGCATCGGCTTGGTTCTTGGAGCATCACAGTTGCTACACACTGCTTGTACAGATTTCCTGCATTTGGCACATCTGCGATGCACAGTGCGACAGGAGCTTGTCACAGGACAGATGTATCAGTCAGTCTTCCTTGAGCAATTGTATAAAAGACCGGGAAGATCCAATCTTTGACAAGAACAGAGTTGGGTTGGGTTGAGTTGGGGATTGGGTGGGAGGTGATTTCAGCAAGTCCGTCCATATCACATTAAATTTTCATTTACATACCTTGCCTCCGCAGGGAGACTAGTCTACAAAAGCCAGCCTATGAAAGGCACAGTCTGACTTGAAAAGCTCATGAACTTCCCCGTGGTTGGTGCTCCATTTATAACCGAGTGGAATACAAGAAGAAAAATGATAGAGAAAAACGACAAACTGAAAAACAAGAAAATCATACGAACATATCCGCAACGATTGACGAGACTGGCAATTACTCGACGATTAGTAGTTCCCCCAACGAAATTGAAAGAGGAATGATGGATCCCTCACTGACAGGACCTTAGTATTTTTCAAATGCTACCACATCCGTTAATTTTTTACTGCTTTTTATAGCGACTAGAGAACAGGCGAGCATGCCCTCCCCAGATGAGTAGCTTCAACAAACCTAGACTTAGCTCAAGTTCAACCATGGAGTCAACAGATGAATGTACCCAATTTATAAGCCAAATATAATTGAATTTCTGAAGAGTTCATCTCAATGGAAAAATATAGGTGGTTTGTAGTGGATGACTAAAATTAATGCTATCCTCTCTACCTAATTATCTTCACGCAATCATCCATGACCCAAGAAGATAGAGCCCGTGGCTCTCAAGTAAGCTACATCCATTAGCATATACTGAAGCTTCGACTTGGTATCTGTAGGGATCTGTAGGGATCATCAACCAAAATACCATTGCACAAAATCGAACTGTGTGCCTCAAAACATTATCATTTCTTGTGAGTTGACTGGTGGTTGTCAAAATTTGGGACAAAATGCAAAGAAATCACATGGTTTCAATGTGGGTCCCAAATGTGTGTGGTCCAGGGAAATCAATTGGAGCATTGTTCATAAAGTTCCCTGCTATGTGTTTTTAATGAGATTTATCTTCTAAACCTCTAGAATGACTCTGTTCATTTGCAAATGGATTAAATTGCTTAATATCATGTTCAGAAAGATATCATAAAGAGAAAGGCCATAAAAGATGATGATGTGTGGAAATATGGAGGCATGATTGTCGACTTCATCTTCAGCAGGGTCTCTTTTATTCAATTCTTCCCAAGAATTTCCTTGGCACACACCATATCCAATAACCAATTTTCCACCTTGAAAAAGGTAAGAACACCAAAAGATCACTCATCATCTGTCCATCTTGAAATTAGCTTGAGGAATTCAACTCAAGTCAAGTACCCTTCTCTTCTTGATCTGTTGAAGGCATTTTTTTGCCCAGGTCAAAACACAGTAGCTTCAAACACATCAAGATTTCTCAATCTCTTGAACAGTTAATCTGATAAAAGTTCTTGGTTTTTAGTGTGATTATTTCAAGGATTCAATTTTTGGTTGCTGTTGTTTATGTGAATGAGTTGAAATATGGTTGTTTTGCTACTCTTACAGTACGAAAAAAAATCAATAACAAATTATAATATCAAATAATTAACAACAAAACACAAAATTAATGAGTTATGTTTGAATGAGGGGTTGTACTGCAATGCTTGGTGACAAGTGCTGGGCTTAACACAGATAAGAAGAAAAGCTTGAAGCTTCCTGTTGCAATGCTGTTAATGGTATGGAGGAATTATTAAACAGAAAGACACTGTAAATATTACATTCAAACAACTAAGGGCCCAGTGCAGCTTGATGAAAAATTGTCCAGTAGGTAAAAATCAAAATTCAATGGGTGATAAGGGGATGTCATTTTTGATCATTATTGAAAAGGAAAACACTACATTTTATACTAAAGTAACACAGTGAAGTTGGCTGCAGAAGGCTTGACTGTGTGTGGTCCTTGGTACAACTGAAAAGACTTTACTTAAAAGCATCAATAGTCAAAGTCATTGATATGAAAAACAAAAGAGCAGCATGTGAGCACAAATATCACACATCAAGCCAGATGTCAACAAAATTTCATGGGTCAAAGCATCCACAGGTTTTCAGCCCATGATGACTCAGATAAAACTTCTTTCTTTAAACACACAGATAGAAAAAGCATGAGGTGCTTTCCAAAAAAGTGGATTGCTCAAAATTATGCCAAAATAGAGGTATAATTGTTTGCAAACAATAAGACCAGATAGCAAAAAAAGTTTATTGAACTTTATAAAGACTTATCAATTTCTGAAAATCAAGATTTTATTTTGCTTGCTATCCTACAAATTCAATTGGATTTACAGCACTTCATTGATCAAAAACTAATAACAAAAACTAAAACTGAGATTGAGGTTGACTATAGCTTGCATGGGAACCAGAAGGAACCAGAAACAAAAACAGAACATGGACTCAAGGACCGGGAAACAGTCATGTGGGTAGCTCCTACATATATGTTTCTTTTATAATACAACTTTATCCACACTAATATTTACATCTGTATGATCACAAATTATGTCATCATTTTTTTATTGCAATTCCCAATTCTTATTATTATAGACATTATGAGGGCATCCGATTTTTCACCAGTTTTTATTTCACCATTTTTAGAAGAATCAAGTATAATTGACATTGTCAGAGAGATGTTTGGTATGTTTTGTCTATTTATGTTATTTATAGTTCATTTGGGAGTAGCTCTTCAAAATTTCTTGTGTAGCAGGGAATCTAGGCTCCCCATAGGGGTTTTTATTGTTAAAGTTGGGTCCTTGATTCTTGATCTCCTTTCATCCAGTTTTGGCAATACCAAAAATCTTGTTTCATGCATGCCACTTTGTAGCACCACTGCATGTACACCTGGCGCATGTGAACTCAGATAGTGCAACTGACATACTTCAAAATTCATTCCAATTGATACCAGTTTATACTCACAGACAGCAAGTGTCACCTTTGGGTGCCTAGCTGATTCATGATTGGAAGCAGACAAATGTCAAAGTGATCTTTGGGGACCTGTAACATCTGATAGCTTTTAACCTTAATGGATGTGGGTGATGAACAAACTGGTATGGGAGAAGCATTATACCAGTTCCCTTCAAGCTCGACTGGAAAAAATACTGGGCATCATATAAAACCAAGAACATACCAACATGAAGCCATACCATGCTGCATCACATGTTGATAAAATGAAGCCATTCTTGGTCTGCACAACTTTTCTTGGCCAAGAGTTTTCATGGTAGATGGCACCCATTTCCTTGGGACAATACTTGTTCAAATCATGTGGCTGCCATAAGTAACTTGTGGTAAAGAGCAACCTGTATACCCCAGAAATTGGTTACCACAATCCACACAAGTTTAATCCCTCATGCCCCTGTCAACTTCTGTTGTACATCATATAGAATTCAATAAAAGCAACATTATTGTAAATGCATCAAATCAATGCTTACAAGGCGTGATAGATTGATTTGAGATAATCATACAAGCATATTTGGGGAGAAAGTGGACCTAATACTTACTTCATGGTGAAAAAATTGCATCCAAGACAAGGTACTATAATGTGTAAACCATTTTTTTTAGAAATTGTGGAACCCCTTCCACATTTCTGGGTAAGATCTCTGCCTAGAATGTGGATGCTTGGGCTGATGAAACACAAAAAATCTGTTCCATGTAGAAAGATCTATTTCTTTTGGCCTAGATGCTAAATTTTCAAAATAAGCTCTTCCATTTTTGTTTTGCCAAATTCCATCAACTCAATGTGTGTCTGTACTGGTTGATGGCTGTATATTCATTGGGCAGAGTAATTTGATTTGACTTCCATAATAACATCACTTACAACTACCCACTGTAAAATAATAAAAATGTGCTTTAGCCCATAATTTCAAGTACTGTAGTGTGAATGTGTCCTATTTACTATCAAGAACAGTCTCAAAACTTACTATTTCCATGAAAGATCAACACAATTCTCAAGGGATTGTAGAATTGAACCACTGAAAACACTGTGCAAGTCTATATCATATTGAAAACTGATGATGATGAACAATGTAAGAGACTTTGCAGCCTTCTTGGTAAAGTATGCATTGAGATCAACTCAATAATCCATGATCCATGGCAGTTGAATGAGTAATTTTTTTCTCAAAGGATAAACATAGATGAATGTGTTTCAAGATCCTCTAACACATCAAACACAAGTTGGATTCAAAAAGGTAGAGCTCTTGTACACCCAGTCACCTCAATTTTCTCCTGCATATATCTTTTCATTCCTCCAAGTCTATCTTATCTTATGAGCTAGAAGTTTAGCAAATGGAGTAGATTCTCAAGATGCAAGTTGTAAGATCTGATCAAATTTGAGACCTTATATTATAATGTGAAGTTTTCAGCATAAGGAATTTTCCAACAGGAATTTGACCTGGAATTTGAAAGTTGACTCTACAGGTTCACATTCAAAAACTCAATGTTTTTATTGATCAATCAGCTTTCTTTCACCATACCTTCATTCATACTTGTTTCTATCATTCAACAAGATTTCACCAGATAGTGCTCAATTTGAGGATTCCAAAGTCAGTGTGAGACATTCAAAATTCTGAAACTTGAAGGAGATGATAGATTCTTCAGAAAAAAATGTCCCAAAAAGAAATATCTGACAAGCTCTTGACCTAGATATTCCAAAACCTATCTTGAACATTCACAAAGTCTTGGTTTAAGGGTGGTTCAAACTCAACAAAGTCTCAAACAGTTCTCTATTGCTTCTAACAGACCAAGCCTGTAAAGAATTATTCCAAGCAGTAACTTGCACAAAGTTAAACCTCAGATTTGAGGCTTTTGCAAGAGGAATGCTTGAAATCCATCTACCCCTTTCCCTACCAATGATCAATATGTGGTCTGTAAACAAAGATTGTGCACTGATTGCAAGTTGGGAATCAATTTTTTTAAAATAAAATCAATCCCGTCTTGCCAAAAACTGACTTGAAGATTGGATCTTGATGGAAATTTCATATGTTACTTTCTTTTTGAGTCCATATTTGATGCTTAAATGTTTGAATTGATTTCTTGGAAAGAGCAGCTCAGCTTCCTCAGGCAAAAATTGATGCAAAATCTGGGCAAGAGATCAGTGCAACCTTTTATCTAATTTTTGGTAGGCAATCATGTAGATAGATTTCAAGAATTCCTTCTAGAAAAAGCCCCAACTCTGAGCAATGAGACTGTGCAAGTCTGGAATAATTCTCTCATTGACACAGACTGTCTGTGACAGTGTGGGGTTTTGAAAATTTGAGCCAACTTCCCTATCTTTGTTACTTTGCTCTATATATATCTTGTTTGGTGGTTGGACCAATAATTTCACCCTGTTTTGTCAGGTACAGTCTCCTGATTTTTGAAAGAAGTATGTACTTCATACATGACAATTCAAAGGAACCTGTGGGTGTCAAACAGCAAAAGCACAAAGACATCCCAGCTGGTGCCTAGTTTTGGAAAGCTTTGGAAACCCCCAGACTGGCAATCCCACTGATAGCTTCAAGTACCTCAAGTTGCTAGCTGGACTTGTAATCTTGGTAGTAGTAATCCAAGTGAAGATTTGGAATGATAGACTTTCAAGGCATATGAGGGGACTCCCAGTTGAAAATTGAACAACTCAACATTGCATATGCTGAGCTCAAGATATCACAAGTTTAAGTGAATCCAAATGTATGCTCTAAATTGATATCTTAATTGGTTAGGGTACCCCTGTATGATTGACAACTGAATTGTTGAGAAGAGAGAAAGGGTGAAGAGTTCTTCAAGGGGTTGGGGTGTTTCCCTTTCAAAATGCTCAACTCTCGGATTTTGAAATCCTGTTGACCCTTCCTTTACTTCAACTTTCTATTATTTGATGAAGCCTGAAGGGTTTCTTTCTTTATCTGAAACGAACTCTATCAAGTGATAATCGATTCGATTCATCCTGCATAATTCAATCTCAGATTCGTTTCAAGTGGTTATTTCAAAACTTTTATTCTTCAAGACTTCATGGCTCCTCACTCAAACTCTTCTCTTCAGGCTAGATTAACGAAACCAAAAGGTAGCCTTAGTACCTTCCATGGTCCTCCTCCTCATTCTGCTTCTACCAGTTCAACTTCATTCAGAAGACCAGCAAAAGCCAAGTTCCACGGACAACGCTTGGATGACTTACGAATCCGTGGATCTTCATCTCATCAAAAACCTCTTTTTGGCCCCGGTAGCAAGAAATCTAACATAACCGATCCAAGCATAGTTGCTGAAACGACCGCCGAAATGGGCTTTAAACCCTCACCTCAACCACTTCCACTTCAATCTGACTCTCCACCACAACCATCAAGACAGATTCCGAACGGTATCAGCATCGAAACAGCTCATGTTGATGAGAGCAGTGATGATGATGATGATGACGAGGCAATTGCCGATGCTCTGCTTGGTCGTGCATCTAACCCTCGAATCTTGCTTGGGCGTCTTCACTCACTACATCCACCAGTTTTAGGTCATAAGGAAGACGGCGAAGTCTCGGATGAAGATCCGACACGGATTCTCAAAGTCGAAGGCTCAGATGTCCTATCTCGAAGAACATCACTTTTGGCCAGAATGGGGGCTGATCAACCATCTCACATCTCAGGCGGAGCTCAGAATCAGGCTGATCCCACGAGTAACTCACCAGGTCGTTTGATTCAACTATTCAAAAAGAAACCCGATCGTTGACCCCCTTTGTTTCCTTGGTCTGACTTTTCTATCTTCAGGCCAATCCATTCAGCAACCGTCCTTGCTTGATCGTATCCCACTTCCCACAGCACCCCGTGCTCATCTTCACTCTAATGCTGACCGTCGAGTACTTGCCGAACGCAACGCTCGAGCTCCTAATTCCCATGTTGACCATCATGATCGTTATCACGAACTTGATACCTCACTCGAGGATCAATCCTCCATCTCTCGTAGAGTCTCATCGCAAGGCTGCGAAGGTCCTCGTCGTAGCTCTGTCTCTTCTCTCAAACGACATTCACTCTACACGGTTGATGAATCCAAAGACCATCGGGAGACAGGTTCTCCCCATGGTTACATCAGTCCCACCATGAACAAAGGCGACGGTGATGCAGATGAACGAGGCTCGAATGCAAGTTTTCATTCACATACTCGCAAGACCAAGGAAAACACTAGCTTTGGGAGCTCTGCTCATCACAGACCATCTGTGTCTGCCGTCCCGAATCAGACACTTCCCACCGCCCCATCATCGTCATTAACTCATCGAATCGATACGAAGAGTGATAACAGGGATGGTCGCTCCATCAATGATCAACACGGTGCGCAGAGCGCGCTACTGGCTCGAATCGGTGATCAATCCATTGCATCAAGTGGAGCATCTCATCAATCATCCATTCTTGCCCCTGTGGGCTTACGTGATCGCCTCGGCCTGGCAAACACCTCCGCCTCTACCGTAGCGACGACCTCGAAGAGTTTACTTGAACGTACGATACCTAAAATGCAGCATCCTCCTCCGCTTCAGCTTGCACGGCGTTCTCCTGAAACCACCTCATCATCTGAGCTTTATCGTTCGTCTCGCTATGGTGATCAGAAACCTGCAGCTGACCGAGTCTTGTCCCCAAGAACCGCATCATCAGCAGATTGGAGACATGCAAGTTACTCGAGCCATCCTAAAAGAAGGCATTACTCCCGATCAAGATCGCCTGTCGGCAGACGTAGTCGATATTCACCCATCCCTTTGAGTGCTCACAGTCGTGGTCGTTCTCCTCCTAGCCCCCGGCACAGGCATTCCCGTAGTATGAGGTATTCTCGATCGCCTCCAGGCTTCGATCGCCGTCGATCACCGCCTAGAGGACCAAGAGGCTACCGCCGACCTTCGTCGCCTGCGCACAGCGTTAGTTCAAGGCGACGAGAACCTCAACACTCTCCTCCCCGTGCGCCTTACAGCGCACGAGAATATCACCATCGTCGCAACTTTTCATCATCACAGCATTCAGCCTCGGCAATACCTCCCATCAACAGCGAGACTCGCGGTCGATTGGGATCAAGAGACACCCACGTTCCCGACACAAACTCTTCAAGAGACAACCTACGCATCAAACCTCCCACACAGATCTCTATATTAATATCCAATCTACCATCAAGTCTTGAGTTGAAGCCCTTCGATGTATATCAACATCTGACTGATTCTCTCTACCGAGAACACACAGATCCATCCATCCCCTATGAGCTGACACTATACAGATTTGCAGGTACTTCCCGAATATGCGGTGAGCTCAGGTTCCATCGTGAAGAAGACGCTCGCACCTTTGAGAAAAAAGCTATTCGCCGTTGGAAAGATGAATGGGATGATGGTCAGAAAAGCTCATCTGAACGAAGAGTGGAGTTTGTTGTGGTCGATCGAGATAGAGCTCCATGGCCCGGGTATAGTTTGATTCCTCATATATTCACTGTCGTCTGCCTGCGCTGATCGTTGGCTAATGCTCAAAACCTTCGTCTGCTATCACTTTACACAGGAAACATTGCACATACAAATACAAACACAACGGCCTTGGTGATGGGACGATCACTACCGGAAGTGGATCCACCTTTCATCCAGCTCCGGATGAATCATCCACCATGACCAATTCAGCCAACGCATCCCTGAAAGACGAAGCGTCATCTAATACCAAGGAGGTCGGACCACCAACACCTACCAGTTTCAAATCAAACCCCATTTGCCCACCGTCACCCAAGAATCGCTTACCACCTGATGAGCAACGCACCGGTGTCCTGATTAGTTCGTTGAGGCCATCTACGAATATATCTGTACTCCATAGCTTGTTCATCGTGCCTACTAGACCAAGAAACTTCAGAATTTTTCAACCGTCTCATATAAGTTATGGAACAATTCTCCTTGACGAGCATGAACGGAAATTGGCTTGTTTACTCAAGTTCAAAGATTCAGTCATCGCTCAGAGTTTCTTCCGTGTCCTTCTCGATAATGCTCCTTTTCAGCCTATGGAAGCTAGTTTGGTTCAGTTTGAGGTGCGTAGTTTCTTTCATTTCAACCTTTCTGGTAATCTCGTCATCTACAAAAGTAAAATGGGGCAAAGAAGAAAAAGTCATAAGAGCACTCAATAGAATTGAAGTGACTGGCTTCATATTATGATCATTGTCTTGAATGGATGAGGATGTGCCGCTGCTAATATGACATATCGAACTTTAGTCTGTTCATTTTTCCAAGTTAGTCTTTTTTTGTTTCCAAAACTCTGCGGGACCTTTTGATTTGCAGATGAAGGCTTAAACTTTTCCACAGACTTGATTTTTCTAGTGCGATCCCTATAGGTGGCTCATCAGACCCGCCACAAGAAGAAGAAGCAAGTCCGGATCCCCCTCGCGGAACAAGGGAAGAATTGACGAGCCCTCCGCTTGGATCGATCGCCCAACTACCAGCGAAACCAAGTGGTACACCACCCTCACCTATCGGTCTCCAGATCAACCGAATCTTGGCCATGGCTCGGCCTCCACTCTTTCAACCTAACGCTCATCTCTCACCCGATTTCAGTCATCATCATTCTTCAACCGATTTCAGCAACCACTTCATCCCCTCTCCATTCTATAATAATTTTTCAACAGCAGATCATCATCTTACAAGTTCCGGCTCAATGCAGCCATCGGTCCCGATTCCGATGCTCACACCTGAAGAACATAGAGCGTATGAGTTACGTCAAACTATTTTGGCGAGACGTTCGAACCCGAACCCGAATGCGACACACTCGAATCCTGATGTGTTATATGATAACCTAAGGCTCAATTCACCGCATTTGATGAATTATCCATCACAAACTGACGTCTATCATGAATATGAACAAGATTATCTCGAGAACGGACAACATCACTAGAAGGAAACTGAACCAAGAAACTTTCCAGGAACCGACAAAGAACCCGGCTTTACATTCGAGCAAGCGAGACTGGATCGCGCAAGGTCTTATATTTCCACATTGAAGATCAAGGCAAGACCACGTCACTTTTTTTTCTTTTTTTTCTCTTCCCCTTTCCTTCAAATTGCTTTGCTTTTTAATGAATGTGAATTTGGGTGTGCGGAGGGCTATATGTATTGTGTATTTGAAAGGTCATTTAAATCAATAGTCATCTTTGCTCGTTTCCTTAGTCTTGGGGGGGCCTGATTGACCCGTTTTCTCTATCTCTCTCTTTTACAAAAAGAACAACAATTTTTTTTTACTGCATTGTAATTGAAGATTTGTTTTTGAAAATTTTCATGAGTTTTTCAATCTTATTTTTATTAGAATTTTATATCTTTATTTATAATTCCACAAGTTTCGTACTGAAGACGATATTTGTTGAAGGGAGGAGAGGAGAGAATAGAAAAAGGAGAGTAAAAGTGAGGTGAGATGTGTAGAGCCTGAGGAAGGGATATGTAGAGAGATGGATAGACAATTTGCATTTTCCCTAAAGATTTTGTACCATTGATCTTTGAATGGATAAAACAACTGGACAGAATTAGTATCAACCTGGATGGGAAGCAGTGGGGTCTTTAGTCAAGATTCCACAGTGGTGCCCAAATTGAAGTGACCAAATGGTCTCCCACACATCATGTCAGTGCTACAACTGGTTTACCATAAGTTTCAAGATGCCTTTCACTTTTGAATCACTCAATCAAACATTGAGTTTCCCAGTAACTTGGACTGAATAATCTATGGAGCAAGTTGAACTAAAATGCATGATATTAGAACATCTCATCAGGACCCAGGCAAACCCTACCAAAGCCTGTTGAGCTGGGAGGTATGAATTTTTGAAAGAATATTTTTTGATGTAGGGGTCTGACAGGTATGAATTCAATTTTCTCAAAAAAATGGTGCTTGTCTGAGCGTATGGATCTCAAAATGTCCAAAATACGTGACATTTGACCTATATGTCACTGTCAGGAGTGTATGGATTTTGTTGGATTTTGTCAGAAAAGTTCCTCATACACTTTTATTAAGAATTGAAGTCAAATTTTCTGTAGTGATTGCACAGGCCAGATCATCTATAAGTACATGCATCAAGTAATCATGAAGTTTGATGCCAAACTATCTGCTCAAAAGCCTGATCAGCATATATTTTGGCCAACCAATCAAGGAAAAGATTTTTTGCTCAAAACACCTAAAATATTTTCTCAAATATGGAGGTGTGTATGAGAACCAAATTTCAGCTGACTAAACTCCCAAAACCTGGGGTTGACATACACACAAAACTGTTTTTTTTTTTGAAAAATTCAATCTTTATTCCAGTATGAAAAAGGTCAAAATCAGTGATTTTTGATAACCCACTCACCTGGGGCTTTGCCAGGGTCCCAGAAAAACCTTTCTGATGGAATCATCCACAGGAAGTCCCTTCAAGTGGTCTGGCTTGAGGATTTCAATTTTCCTGCCCAAAGGTTCAAAGTGTACATTGTCAAAATTGGGTTTAGAGACCCCCCCACCTTCCAACCTTTCAGCCTTCTTGGATTTTGGAGTAAATGTGAGATCCTTGTTCAGTCTTTTGTATCTTTCATGGCTTTGATGACAGGTGTACCAATTTCTTCTATTGATGGTCAAATGATTTAAGCAATAACATCAAAGAGAGTACTAAAATTGGAGTTCCATGTGACACATCCTTGACTGCTTCAAGATTGTTTGACCCTATCTGCAGAATAAGTAGAAGGAAAATCAGCTGATGTCCAGAAAGAGAAGAATTCAAAGCAGCTGTTAGACACACCTCCAACAGTAGTTACAACACTTTTGACATCTTTGGCAACAAGTGCTGCGTTTTGAGCCATAGAGTGTCTCTTGACACAGAAATTCACTTTGGAAATGGACAATAGAAGTTATATGTTTCTTAACTTTGACTTTGCAGAATTCATCATCATGAATAAATCAATGCTGATTGGTCTTTCCTCAGATCAGATATTAAGCTTCTTAGAAGTATGGATTAGTAGAAATGTAGTATGAATACAGTGAAAGAGAAGTTATGAAAATATATCAAAACCAATGTATACAGCTAGTATCAATTGACATATGAATCATCTATATGGCTTGTTCATATTCATGATCTTTCTTTGTTACATCATACACTTGTGATCATTATGTATGGCATGATGTTTGATTTTGATCCATAAAGGTTCACTTTACTTTTACCATTAAGTGTACTCAAATGAAGTATGTGGCACTACATATGTAGCAAGACCTACTTTCCAAATTTTGTTTTTGACAGGGAAAATGAAATTTGGAAAGTATGTTCTGCAGCTTGCTACATATGCAGAACCACATACAGTCAAACCTGCGCAAATGCATACCTGGACAAATTCATAATTGGTCATTTTGCATAAGACTCGGGTTCCACCATTCCACCAAGCTGGTGTGGGTCAAATTTCAAATTAATGCATAATATATAATGCCTGCTTGCTGGAAAAATCCAGATCTTTGTGGTCATAATGCATAGAGCCTTGGGGCCGGACCCGGGGCTTCCTGCAATCTGAAAGAGCAAAGTATGCAATTGAGTAAGCTGAATCTAAATTTTCACTCGACTTGATTCTAGAGGACCATGCCTGCTTTGAGGGATGAAGAAAAACAAAGGTGCATATCCAGATTCTACATATACATGAAATACAGGTGACATGTTTTTATTTTATCTTTTGAGCATGGTCATAATGCATAGATCTATGCACCATGACCATAATGCATAAAATTATACATTTTCACAAAACCTGCAAAAATGAATAAATGGTCAAAATGCATAGAAAAAACTGTTGCCCCAAATTATGCATTTGCACAGGTTTGACTGTACTTACTTTGAGTACCCTAATTGTTTCCTATTATTTATCTAATTCTAACTTATTTTCTTCCAACAATTCTTCTTGACCATCAGAATAGTTATCATCCTATTTGATCAGAGTGCAGCTTGTACAAATATGTCACCTGAATCTCAAGGTAATCATCATCTTTAGTGTATATAAGAAAGTGGTCCAAGAGGTTGGTACCAAAAATAAGAAAATGTGAGTAAACATATATTGAGGAAGTGCAGCCAGGACTTAATATAACATGGGATGAGAAAAGCTGTCTTCTTGACTCTGCTGAGGCTCATGGTTCACCCAACCGGAGCAAAGAGCAATACTTAACCTTTCACTCTTCTGTTCAACTTTGAAAAAAATCAGTATTGCAATGATATCTGTGACAATCTCTTGCTGCTACACTTTATGAGATCACTCAGCCACATCATCCTGAGGCCCCAAGAGCACAGCAAAATATGAAAAAAAAGTTGTGGGGTTTCTGTAATTCCAACATGAGCAGTGTGACTTCATTGAGGCTGCAAGGAAGTTTGAACATATTGCAATCACTGTCACCATGCCCTTGTGGTGTTTGCTGGTCAACAAGCACACATGAGTTGCCTTTGTGCCTCAAAGGCAGTCCGTGTGCGCTTGGTGTCGGGCGACTGCCACAAGGAGAAAGTGTGTGCCTTGTGCCATGGTTTGCACCAACACATCCAGACAATCTACCTGTCTATTGACTACAACACCAGTTTGTGTCTCAGTGAAAGATGAAAAGCCTGCTTGCTATGGAGCCTCACAGACAGCATCAGTGATGTCACTAGTGGGATTTGTATATTTAGGCTAGTTACGACTTACAATTGTGCTCAGTGCTATAGTCACTCCATGATACCTGTGCCGCAAGTGGAACTTCTGGCCATCCTAACATGGACTTTTCAGATGCTTTTTGAGGCCAGCATTTCAATATGCTGATTTCTATTGATTATTTTATATCAAAGCCTTAGAAAAGTCTGAAATTAAACTTGAGATGTATTAAGGGTATTGATTTGACTTTTATGATAAAAAATATTTAACACAAAAATAAACAGTAGGAATGGGAGGCAATAAGTTTTTAATTTATTGTGTACAACTCTGGTAAGAATAAAATGAATGATAGACAATACATTATCCAAAGACACAGGATAAGAATGAAAGAATATGAGATAGGATATGACTCTAGAGTTGCTGCAACCCTTCTTGTGATCTCTGTACTAGTCACTATCAGAGTTTTGATAATGATCTTCAGTTTCCTTGAGATGACTTTCTTCCAAATTTCAAAAACCAATTCAACATTTTTTTGAAAAACTTGATGAACAGCCAACCTGTGTTCTTAATTTTTATGGCTTTAAGATTTAGGTCATGATTCAAGGTTAGTCAGCTTTGCTCATCCAAAAATGTTGTTGATAAAATAGGGCTCAATTCTCACCTGCAAATCCCAATGGCTTACTGCCTCTGGACACAGGATCCCTTTTGAATACTATATTGGCGCCCCTCAGAGCGTCTTTCATCAAATTTTCAATATTTTTTTCAAATAACTGGATCTTATCCTCAGGCTGCTTCAATTTGATATCATTGGGATAGTGATTTGCTTGTTTTTTGATGAATTGTCTTTTAGAAGCCTGTTCTATTGTCTCAAGATCAGATGGCCCTCCTCTAAATTTTACATCTGCTTGCAATCCCTTAATTGTGTTTGCCCACTCTTCATCAAACTCCTTTTCACACTGACCAGTCTTGAATTTTTTAGCCACTTTTGGGAAAAAAGTGTTTACAGCCACACGCATCAGTCTTTCTTCTGTTTTCCACTGAACATATTTTTTGTACACTTCTTTGTCAAAAAATGATGCCTTTTTCACATATTCCTTGGGGGTGAGCTTTGAGAGCGCTTCTGGTGTGAGTGAATCTTTTGACACAAGATTTTTAGCAGCATCCCGGATATTTATATAGGCTCTATTATATTGCTTTTTGGTGTGAGTAAATTTTGTAAAAGTTTCTTCATTTAGTGATGCTTCTTGAGCTTTGTTTAATTTCTCTTTGGTTTTGAACAAATTTGCCTCTTGTTCAATGAATGATCTTCGGACAAGAATGATGAGATGTTGATCAGAGACCCCTTTGTAATCTGGTGATTGCTTCATCTCCACAAACTTGTTCTCAATCCATTTTGGGATATCCACATCATCAATCCCCCTCTGCCTATACAGTGTTGAAGCCACGGTGAACGCTTTTGCTTCAGCTTCTTTGTGTGCCTGTGCTGCTTCTTGGAAATCTATGGCCATTTTCTGGATCTGTGTATCCTTCTCTGCCATATATCTGATAAGTGCATCATTTGAGAGTTTTTCCACATGGTCTCTGTTGAGGAATTCCATTGTCTCACCATAAGGCTTGATGTGTGCTCTTTCAAAAACTGGTTCTAGTTTAGATAATGCTGAAGCTTCCAAAGCCTTGGTTTGCTCAGATTTTGAAGTAGATTTGAGTAGATTTTCTACTGTATCCTCAGTCTTTGGTCTTGTTTCATCTTTTACGTCCTTGGTGGCAGGATTACCAAATTTATCTTTATCAGATGCTTCATTGGGTTCAGGTGATACTGCGTTGTGATTGAGGGTTTGTCCAGAACCTTTGAAGTGCTTAGTTCCAAGGATTTTTTCATCCCCTGCGCCGGTTTTTCGAAGAGCAGCGGAGATTCCAACTATGAATGCCAAAGTACGCATAACTTGAGCATTGATATCAAATAAAGTTAGAAAATTTGATGAGATCCTCATTACCATCTGGAATATGATCTGACACCGCTTTGGCTACACAAACACCGTTGTTTACTATTTGAACCATGAAGTCGACAATGAATCAGTTGATGGTCGGAACTCGACAAATTGAAAACCGCCGTTATACACACCATTATCTCCCCAGGCAGTAGCTGCAAGACTTTTGACGTATCCAGTAACTTTCTCAAACAAAGGATATCCCTTAACACATAAGTTCACATGGGTGATGATCCACAAAATAAATATATCTTTCAACCTTAACTTTGATGGCTTCCTCATCAAGAATGAATCGATGCAGATCAGTCTTTCCTTGTTTATATCGCTTCCTAGAGGTACGCGGACAACTTGAACTGGGTGTGAATACAGTGAGAGTATTGTTCAGGGTGATATAATCACTTAGAGCCAGATATAGCCAGGTAGCCAGGTAGCTAAAAGCGAAAGCAATGATTTTTTGGAAAGGAGATATAAAAGTTTGAAGTTAAAAAATGTAAAAGCGTAAGACACCTTGGCTGATGGCTTCAGAGTTGACTTGTAAGTTATCAATGATGTTTTTAATAATGAAGTGATAGAAAAAGATCGAAACAATTGGAGGTCTAGTATCTAGAAAAAAATAGAGAAAAATGTAAGTAATAGGTGTAGGTAACTTGTTACTTACTGATTGGAATATCGGAATGATAGGTGCTATGTAAATTTTACTGATGAAATGAACGGGTCGGGCTTTTTATGATGATTTACTTAGTGGTAAAATGACATCATCAGTCTGGTTTTTAAATTTCGTTCATTCATCGAAATATTTCTTCTTTACTTTTTTCATCATTCTCGATAGTTCCAATTCGTTTCATTTAAGAATATAGCTATTCTTCATAGCGTCATTATTTTTGAAGCAGTTATAAAAGAAAGATCGAGTTATAAAGATTATCATCTAAAAAACCGTAAAACCGGTAGTAGTCTATCTAAAAAACCGTTCCTTAAAAACCATATCTTTTAGGGAATGTCAAGTTTTCTCTAATCAAAGAGTCGATGAAGAATTGCCGGGGTTATTTCCTACTGGTAATATCACATCAGAAGATCGGATTGAATTGTTGTCAATGGCGAATAAGGACGCCAATGAAACCATCAAGTTGTTGTTGGCGAATCAAGGAAAAGGAAAAGGAAAGCATCGACGTAAACAAAAGGACGACAGTTCTGTGTCGTCGGATTCTTCAGCGGATAAAGAAGAGAAGAAAAAGAAGAAATTTGCTTTTATCTCAAAAGCAATTCCGGTGTCAGATTTTGAAGCAGTGTTTACGCCAGCAGCTCGTCGGTTTGCGGAGGATGTCAAAGGATACGAGTCCAACATCGCCTTGGCGGTTAGAGAATTCAACAGAGCTGGAAAACCAGCCCATGTTCCGGAAGTCTTATCGAAAGAATTGCTTTTGGGAAAGTTTATCGACGTTAGAAGAATCAAAGGAGAATTGCTCAACAGGAAAAAAGGGGATGTGGCTTACTCTACGACTGGGAAGGAAAAAGGGTTGGAGGTGTCAAAGCAGTATTCTCTTGAAATCGACGATTTGGCAGAATGGCAATATTATTTTTCAATCCTCAAGAAAGCTATTGAAATGGGGTTTCCGGATTGTGGGAAACAAATCTCAGATTATTCAGAGTACATCAATTCTCAATTTTGGTCGGGTCCTATTCGAGCCAACTGGAAGAATATTGCTGATTACGACGCAGCATTCAGATCTCAAGTGGCCGACAGAAGATACGTGTGTTTCTCAGACTGGGATCACAAAGATTTCGACGTTCTCAAGACCCAATACTTTGGTAGTAGTTATTTTAACACTACTGCTAATCCTGTTCAATCTGGTTCTTCGTTTTCAAGAGTAGGTTTTCTCTGTATGGATATGTTTTTCTGAAATGAAGGCTTATGTTGATATCATTACAGCCTTTGTTTCAAACGCCTTTTCGGAAAAAAGGCGGTTTTCAGCAAGGTCTTGCTACGAAACCATCTAGTGGAGTTATTCCATCTGGGGGTGCTCCCAATTATGTGGCTGAGTTTAAGCATAAGGGGATCCATAAGATTACGAACTCTAAGGATGTGGGAAAAATGGCAGAAGAATATTGCTTCGCTTATAATAGTGAGAGGGATTGTCCCCTCGGTGATAGCTGTCCCCGCCTACATTTTTGTGTTGGTAGAGTTTTCTTCTGTAATCAATTTTTCTGTTCTTTACGTGAATATGAATGGAGAAGTTTGTTATAGTTACTGACATATGAGTTTATTTGGCAGAACGTCCGGGGATGTGGTGCAAAACACCGCGGATGCCATCACACCTGAGGAATATACTTCTGAAAAATTCCTCAGGGGGTATCAGTGGGACGGGTCTAATCCTTTGGGTTTTTCGGCAGCTATCGAGTCCAGTAGGTATGCCGAGCCTTTTCCGGACGCCCCGTCGCTGGAAGATGATGAAGATGCGAGATATGCGTTGAAGCAATATCATTATTTATTCAAAGTTTCGACGCCTTTCAAGATTGACAAGATGGAACAATTGTGTAGACACCATCCTAATCAGCCATTTGTAAAATCAGTCTTGAAAGGTTTAAAAGAAGGTTTTTGGCCGTCATCATCAAAAACGGATTCAAAAATTGTGGACGTTCCTAATCATCAAACATGCTTCGACAATCAGAAGCTATTAGAGGACCAATGCGAGGAAGAGATTCAGAAGGGTCGCTATGCTGAAGAGTTTTCGACTTTGATTCCCGGGATGAAAGTAATTCCGTTATTGATGACGTCAAAAAAGGATTCGAAAAAGATGAGAGTTTGTTCTAACATGAGCGCTGGACGCCCTTCACCTAATGATTTGATTGATAAAGATAGGATAAAAGTTTCTTACGATTCCCTTAAGTCTTGGATTCCTTTTCTGATGGAGTTGAAAAAGAAACATGGAGATGTAGTGATTTTTAAATCTGATGTCGAAGGAGCGTTTAGGACTTTATCGGCTCACCTTCAATATCAAATGCGTCAAATTCTTCGGATCAAAAAGAAGTTTTGGGTGGATCATAATCTTACATTCGGATCATCGGCTTCTCCCCATATTTGGTGTGGAGTGTTTTCATTGGTATTATGGATTGCAGAGGAAGTATTTCACATAAAACATTTGAATTGTATGATGGATGATGTGTGGGGTGCTGCAGCTTCGGACGATTGGATAACGTTCAAAGATCACCGAATCCCAGGTCCTCAGGCGAAGTTGTTGATGATTTTCGATATTTTGGGGGTTCCGTGGGTATGGAAAAAGCAAGTGCATGGTTCAGTATTGGAGATTATAGGTCACATGGTTGATTCGAATAATATGAGCATTTACCTTGAACCAGATAAGAAACTGACTATGATTAATAAGATGAAAGATTTTGTTTCGAAGCCTTCTCATTCTCTTCGAGATTGGCAGTCTATGCAAGGATGGATTTCGTGGGGTCTGAATTCGATGCCGTTTGGTCGTTATGCTTTACAGAGTCTGTACGAGAAAACCGGTGGGAAAACAGGACGGTTTCTTCCGATTCATCTCAACAAGGAGAATCAGGACGATATTCGCTGGTTAATTAAGTATTTCGAGTCATCCGACGGGGTTTTAGTCCTGAAGTCTGCTCACTGGTCAAGTCATCAAGCGGATTCGTTGTTTTTCGTGGATGCATGTCCAACGGGCATTGGAGTATGGAATCCGAATGAAAGATTGGCGTTTTATCATAAGCTACCAGTTCCTTCGAGACACATCTATTGGGCGGAACTTTTGGCGGTTATGGCGGCAATTGATCTTGGTATAAATTCAGGTTCAAGAAGGATTTATGTACATACGGACAACAAGAACGTGTTTCATCTTTTCAACACTCATTGTCCGAATCAATTAATTCGTCCTTTGTTCCGATATATCGTCCAACGGATGGTAGATTGTCACGTTGAAGTCAAAGTTTCTCACATTCCAGGTTTGACGAATTTATGTGCTGATCAATTGTCTCATACGTTGCTTGAGAAAGTTAGAAGGGAATTTAATCCGGTTTCGATTTCTCCTCTAAAGATCGATCCTGTTCTTGGTGCTGGGGGTGTTGAGATTAATCTCCGATATTTCAATAATCCTTCACTATCATGGCGTCGAGGAGAATAACTCAGCCGCCTCAGAAGATCACGGTTGCTCAAATAAAAGCTTTAGCGAAAAAAGATCAATTTTCAACTGTAGTATTAGTGACGATTCAGAAGTATAAGTGTGGTTTTCGTAGCTTTTATCGTTTTTGTTCTCAATTTAATTATATTTTTCGGCCTGATTGTACAACATTGTGTGATTACATTGCTTATACGTGTTTGAAGATTTCTCCTAGGTCGGTGAGGATATACTTAATTGGTATTGCTTTTATCTTCAATCGAAAATTTCCCAAGATCAAGTGCGAGAATCATTCAGAATTGGTAAAGAAGACTATGAAAGGTTGCATTAAATTATATTCAAAACCAGTTAATCGAAAAGAGCCGTTAACTATTTTTCAAATTAATTATGCGGTCGTAAAGCTTGGTTCTTGTCATGATGATAGATTGTTTTTGGCTTTACTCAGTGTGGGTTTTGGAGGTTTGCATAGGTTAGGAGAATTAACAGTTCCGGATTCGAAGAAATTATTCGATTCGAGAAAAATTATCAGAAGAGGTTCATTTAAATTTTCAATGTGTGGAAAATATATTCAGTATTCGCTTCCGTATTCAAAAGGAGATTCAGGTTTTACTGGAGTTCCGGTTATCATTCAACATTTCGATGATTCTTCAGCTTGTCCAATATTTCGCATGAAATCGTATTTACGTTCAAGAGATCGTCTATTTTTATCAAGGTCCGAATTATTTCTTACATCAGAGGGTATTATTCCTTCAAGGTCGTGGTTTCTTTCTTGGTTTCAAAAACTTTTCGATAAACGGTTTTCAGGTCATTCTCTTCGGTCAGGAGGTGCGACGGCTTTGGCTCAATCAGGAGCAAGTTTAGAGTACATTCAAAGTGCAGGACGTTGGTCTTTGGAGGCGTTCAAGATATATGTCCGGGGACATGTGGCATTGAGACTTCCAGAGTCGAAAAAGCATGTCATTGGTGGTCCGGTTCATATTGGAGCTTCTGTGCAGTTTTAGTCCGTAAGTAGTCTGCTAGGTTCATTTTCTATTTCATTGATTTGAATAGAAATGAATGCTTTGGTTCAAAACTTTTTCTTTCTTAACCGAAGAAAAGTTTTCGTGTGTTGTGTTTGCGTAGTTGCGGACTTCTTATTCTTTCTTAATTGAAGATAAGTTAGTAGCCGGCTTTTTCTTTCTGTTGAAGAAAAGTTGGGTGGGTCTTTAGTAATATTCTTGTTTGATTAAGGAATGTGGTTGCTGATTGTCTCTGGGCACTGTGATTCTTTCTCCTCCCCTCTTCACCACTCTTTTGACTACCTTCTTTGTAGGCGGGTCGGAGAGGGTGTTGGTTTTGTTTTGGTGGCAGGTTTAATTCACAGTCTTAGCCCAGTTACCTTGTGCGGTCTCAGTCATATTGACGTGAGTACCATGGTGATATTTCTAGGTGTAGGTAACTCGTTACTTACTGATTGGAATATCGGAATGATAGGTGCTATGTAAATTTTACTGATGAAATGAACGGGTCGGGCTTTTTATGATGATTTACTTAGTGGTAAAATGACATCATCAGTCTGGTTTTTAAATTTCGTTCATTCATCGAAATATTTCTTCTTTACTTTTTTCATCATTCTCGATAGTTCCAATTCGTTTCATTTAAGAATATAGCTATTCTTCATAGCGTCATTATTTTTGAAGCCCTCCCTTCCCTCCCTTCTGGTATTTGCGTTTGCGTAGTAGTAGTTCTTTCTTAATTGGTTATGAAAAATGGTATTAGTTTTTTTTTAAAAAAAAAAAAAAAGTGTTTGGGAGTTGTGTTGTAGTTTGTTTATTTATTATTAGTCATCTTTAAATTGTTTTTTATTTATTTTATTCTTTATTCTGTTGTGTTGTTTGAGTTTCAATTTGTATATTATATTTGTTTATCATACTATTTGTTATTTTTTACTTTATATTTATTGTTGTATGTGCCGCTAGCCACCCCGTAGGGTGTTGGTTTTGTTTTGGTGGCAGGTTTAATTCACAGTCTTAGCCCAGTTACCTTGTGCGGTCTCAGTCATATTGACGTGAGTACCATGGTGATATTTCTAAGTACATAATTGACCCTTGATACAAGTCACAGCATGAGATGAGCAGGACTGCGTCAGGCTGCGTTCTTGACTCAGCTGAATCCCATGCAATATATGTACTCGGTTTAAATAATCTTTGAGATTTTTCTCTGTACTAGTGCTGGGCTCATTCAACGATAAATACCAGGCGCAGATTTCTCGGCCTGTGTATTACTAAAACGAGTCCTTTTTCACGTTTGATCCCATTCTCATCTCTAAATTGGTTATTTATCCATTTGAGACGCCATACGCCATCTGATTAGCAAAATTCTCGTTTTCTTCTTGTCGTGCCTCACATAGTTTCAGTGAGGCACTACTTTACGCATCCATCTATCATGAGTGTATGATGAACATCTATCCTTAGTCCGTAAGGGTTGCATTGCATAGTAATGAGATAAAAAGGTCCATTTTGGGACCTCCTGGTATTCTTACTATTCAAGCTCTTTCTTGTCCAACATTCAGGGTTTTGGCCATTTGAAATTGATTTCTCTTGCCCTTCTGTCCAAATATTCTTGCCCGCATGAAGTTTGCCGTCTTGGATCACAGCAAAGAGCTATGGCTTTTGGGAGTTCCTTTCCGTGTGTATATATATGTATGTCTTCGGCACAATTGGGTATTCCATCCTCCTCCGTCAAACAGCTCTCGAAATCTATATCTGTGTGGTAAGGTTTTTTGCTATTGTCTGGGTAGCTATTTTGTTATGATTTTGACAGCTTATATCCTTTGTTGTAGCTACCTAAAAAAATCCTAAAAATTTAATCTGGTATGTTACTTCTTTCCATTCCATTGTTTCAAATGTCTATGAATAACCAATGGTTTTTTCAGGGTCCTCAGTAGAAGTTGAACATGTTGTTGCAAAATTATCGAGCTTGAAGATAGATGAGAGGAAGGGAAATTGAAGATGGATTGGTGTGAGTTAGAAGGAGTATGTATGGTGATATTGGACGCTAGGGCACAAGCTTGCAGCTCAGCATTCACACTGAGCTTTCTTTCATTGGACATCTCAAATCAGGCGCACTGGTGCACAGAAATTTGACCCAATATTTTGCCTCACCCCCCCTTGTGTGAGGGGTGTGTCCCCCTTGAAATCATGTCTTTTTTTTTAGTTAAGAGCCAATCCATACCATTGAATTTCTTCTGAATGTGTCTACATGGATATATTTTTCAGCTCTAAACAAGACCACAAGTTCATTACAATCAGAGCATCAAGCAAATAGATCATCATCACTCAGTCTCCAGGCTGCGCCGGGGCTGTCCAGAATAACAATTAAATTGGTCTTTTGAGGAGTACAAGCCAACTTGCTGTTCTCAAACTCTTGGAAATCAAACAAAGAAGTAACAAATTCACTCTCATCCATAAATAGGCTGTGATCAACAGGATCCATCTGTTCAAAAACCCCATCCTGCCCCCCGGTGACATAGGGTTCCTTGGACACTTGCACCTCTTGCACCCCCCTTCTTGTCCTCTAGGGTGCAACCAGTGCGTGCCCCCCCAAGCGGTGCACCCTCACTTCTGCCTCCCACCTGAATCTCAGAGTCAAACATCCAGCATGGGTTTATATAGGTCAGCATTTGATATCCTGTAGCATGTCACATGCACTCTAACTAAAATCTTACACAGATCACAAATCCAAAAAGCGCTCTAAAAGTGGTTTACCTGCTTTACTAATAAGGCACAAATAGCTGAGAAAAGTATGCCTGGTCCCTAATGTTGCTCAAACAGATGTTGGATCTTTATGTATCTACAGCCAAATTGAGAATGACAATTGTTTTAAAAAAAATGTCTCACCGCAGTGGTCAAAACCAACCAGAAAGCATTCTTACAGGTTTTGTATTCTTGTATTGTCAAAATGAGCAGAAAAACAAAACTTGATCAAGAACAAAATCAAGTTTTGTGTCATGATGTGCTTTTCAAAAAGAGAATCATCCTCAAATTGGCTGTACATAGATTTAGCATGATGTGAGCTGATGTGAATTGATGTTTCAGTGATGAATTTATCATCTTCTGATGTTTTGGTTATAAAATCTGAAAAATTTGCCTCACATAAGCAAAAGTTCCTTGTTTTTTCTCTTCTTGCACAACTGTGTGCCACCCAACCTAAATTTCTTTAGGTCAAACTCAATGGAACTAAAAAAGTTGTCCAATTGACAATCTCTCAATGTTTTTGAGATTCAATGCTATGGAAATTTTCAAATGGTTTTGGGTAGATGCCATCCCATTTTTGAAACTTCAATCAGATTTAAAAAAAGTGAACAATTGGCTGTGCTCTCAGATTTTAGAAAAAAGCCCAGTGCTACACCAGTCTTGATGTTGAGCACTATAGAGGGCTCTTCCTCTTGACCTGTAACTGATGTCAAGGGTGTGACACTGTTTTTCTTGTGTTCAAAGAGGGAAATTTGTGTACATAGGCATTATGAGCTCTGGTTCAAAGAAGGCAAAACTTCAAATTAATAATAATTACCAGCTCTCACCTTGCAGCCATAGGTGAAATCTATGTGCATGTCCCCCCCTTTCCAAGGCTAGCTTTTTGATGCTGCAAGATATGTACCGCTGTTCACCTGAGCTCAGATACATGATGTACATAAGACATTCACATTTCTGTCAAAGATGCATTCCTTTCTCTCAGGGTATACATAGATTTATGCATGATGACCAGGTGGCTATCATCATTGTTGCCAAGACTTGTCATAATGCATGAAATGTTGTATCATGGCCAAAATGTGTCTCATTAAAACCGCTTACTTTCACTCAAGTTTGATATGAAGATAGATGAAGATACAATTTTTGATATTCATTATTCAATAGAATTGTCTTTTGATTACATGTTATTTTCTACACATATAGACTACTGTTTAAAAATGCCAACCTTGTTTTGTAACCCAATTAGCTATCTTTAAGTCATATTGTGGGTGGTGATTGAAGGTTTTAAGCAGAAAGCCTGCACTGTGTATGTATGGTGCTTTCTCATTCAAAAGCGCACCCTGACTCCCTTTGAGGCAGAAGAAATGAATATCTTGTGCATTTCAACAATCAAAAACTAGACAAACACAGGTTCAAACAGGAAAAAAAGGAATAGCTTCCTGTGTGAATACAGGAATTCACGGGATGCACCCAAGCAGTTGATGGTGATTTCTTTGTAAAAATCTTACCAGAACAATACATATGATATCCAAAGCATAGAAGAAAGAAAATCAAAAGGAAAATCAAATGAAAGATGATATCACTCTAACAATGTCAAACATCATGGTCATAGTCTCTTGAACAGTCTCTATCAGGGTTTACATAATGAACTCCATCATTTGTGAGATGTCTTTCTTCCAAGTTTTGAAAACCAAGCAAACATATTTTTGAAAAAGTTTATGAATAACTTGCCAAGATGCTTCATTTTCAGGGCTTTAAGATTTAGATTATGGTTCAAGGTTAGTCAGTGCTAATCATCTAAATTATTTCTTGATAACAAAGGGGACCATTCTCACCTGCAGATCTCAATAGATCAGTCCTTGGCAATACTCTCTTGGCACTCCTCAAAGCCTTTTTCTCAGCTTCTCTAACATATTTTTCAAATTCCTTCATTGTTTCCTCATCCTCCTTCCATCCCAAATTCTTGGGATGTCGCTTTGCTTGGTTTTTGATGAATTGTCTTTGAGCAGCCTTCTCTAGGCTTGTAGGATCAGTTGGCTCTCCTGTTTCTTTTGCCTTTTCTTTCACTTCTTCCATTGCTTTTGTCCACTTGGCATCCAACTTTTTTTGGCTCTTGAATTCCAAAGCCTGTAATTTGAAAAACTTACTCAAATAGTCATGCATCAAATCTTCTTGTGCTTCCCATTCAGCCAAGTTTTGTTGTACCTTTTGGTCAAAGAGGGATGCCTTTTTGACATATTCTTTGTTGGTGAGCTTTGAGAGTGCTTCTGGTGTGAGTGATTCTTTGGAAACCAGATTTTTAGCCTCTGTCAAAGTCTTTTGATAGGCTTGATTATACTGATCTTTGGAATCCACAGAATTGTGAAAGTATGCTCCAGATGGTTGTATTCCTGCCTCAGTGAAAGGCTTTTGTTCAAATTTGTGATCCATTGTGGTTTCCAGAAATTCTATCTTTGACTTTTCTAACTCTCTCTCCTTCTGTGCTATGTATCCAATAAGATCACTATCAGAAAGTCCTTGTACTTGAGCTACATTGAGGAATTTCTTTTTCCCATCAACAACATTTGGTTCTGGATTAGGGACCCCTTTAGATTTCACAGCTCTACTCTCCTCAGATTTTGGAGCAGTTTTGAGATCCTTCTTTAGTCCTTTTCCATCTTCTACATCCTTAGTAACAGCATTTCCTACCACTTCTGGAGTCATTTTGGTATCCCTGGAGCCGGTTTGTGAATGGTGAAGAGCCTCGGCAGTCTCAAGTTTGGTACCTATGAATCACCAAATGATTTAAGCAAACACGTCAATGAAAGTTAGAAAATTTAATGAGAACTTCAGTACCATCTGGAATTGGTTGTGACAGATCCTGGGCTACCCTAAGATCCTTTAACCCTGCTTAGATCATGAAATATACAAAAAATCAGCTGATGGTTATAAACAGGAGACTCGAAAACAGCTGTTGTACACACCATCAGCTCCATTAGAAGGAGCTGTAACGCCTTTAACGTCTTCTGCCAAAAGTATTGTGTCTTTTGGAAGAGAAGGATGTCCCTTAACACAGAAATTCACATTGGCGATGGCCCATAGTAAGAAAATTTCTTTCAACTTGGACTTTGAAGGCTTCACCATCATGAATGAATCAATGCTGATTGGGTGTATCTCCAATCTTTTGCTTCTTAGAGGTACGTTTAGCTAGATATTTAGTAAGAATACTGTTTATCAGGGAAAATGATTATTTGAAGACAGGTGGATGAGAGCAAATGTAAAGAATGTAATTGGAAAGGAATGTAAATGATGAATCCAGCTAGAAAACGATGAAAAAAGGCCAAAATGAAGGTGTATAGCTAGTGTTTAATCATCTGCTCTGGACGGCAAGTGGCAAATTGAGGAAAAATGTGACCAAGGAATTGAGGGGGGTTAGGGGTTAGGGGTTAGGGTTGCGCAGCGGAAGAACAAAAGTTTCACCCCTCTGATCAACCTCAACGAAACTCGGTTCACAATAAGATCTCTGCCTACATTTTGTGGCATAACCGCTGATTATGTACATCAATTTCACTCCGAGTAACTTGCAAGCGGAACTGAAATATACCACAAGTTGTGGTCCACAACAGCCTTTTGGACTATCATGCAGTCAAGACTCAATACAACATGAGTGGAGAAATGCTGCGTTCTTGACTGATCTGCTGAGGCTTATGGTTAACCCAATCGACGCGCAGCGGAAGAAGAAAAGCTTCACCCCTCTGATCGACCACAACGAAACTCGGTTCACAATAATATCTCTGACTACATTTTACGGCTATAGTTCAACCGCTGAATATACCCAACAATTTCAGCCGGAGTAACTTGCAAGCGGAACGGAAATATACCAGAACAGCCTCGTAAACTATCACCCTGCGGTTTGTGACTTGGACGAGGTCGCAGCAAAGTTGAAACGTCAGCAGCTTGCCCCGACAGATTTAAGATATTTATGTGGATATAGATTGACTGCAATGTGAGTTGGTTGTGTCTCAGATACACCATTCCCTAAACCCTGCAAGATGAGAATCCTGCTTGGTGTGGAGCCTCATAGACACTATCAACACATAAATCACTAGTGATCTCATTAAATAGATACAAACGATCAGACTGGCTTTAAGCTGATCCATAATTTGTGCTCGGCAGAATAGTCTGTTCATGACACACGCGTAAATCGCACTTCTGAAGGTCACATCCACCGTGCTGTTCAAGGCCCTTTCAATGCTATTTTATCGATCTGTTGGTCCTTATAAAGCGTTTGTTATCGGATTCAAAGCTTCTGAAAAGTCTTGATTTCAAGCTATGTTTCTAATATTATTTATGGAACTTCAAGTGTAGTCAAAGAATCTATGTTCGGTTGATTTCATGACTCCATTGATCAATGAAGTGAATTTCTTTGTTAGTACGGCAAAAAAAATGCGTTCAAAGCCAAAAACTGTGACACGGATCTAATAAATAGAGCAAGTGTTTGCAAAGCTTTTGATCACAATTGGTGAAATCCCCGGTACCCCTTAATCCAGCAACATCGCTCCATTGGATAAATGCTTGAGACTGTCTGGTTCCTCGCAGCCGCTACTGACACCTCGCAACTACAATATCTTGTACTCCTATGTAGTCGTAGATCACAGGCTCTAATAAGTAACTAAAAGTTGCTCTGGCACATCTCCTGAATCCCTTCAAGACTGGGATTTTTGAGACTTGGCAATCCCCCCAAAAAGTGCTATGCAATCCTAACCTCCAAAAAAATCATTCACGAAAAAACTCAACTCTAATGATATCTAAGAGTCGATGACGAGGAGATAGATCACATCTACATATCATATTGCGCATTTGATGGGATATAAAAATACATTGTGATCTGCTTATGATCAACTTTCAATCCTTGTCAGAAAATAGATGATTGTTAAATCAATACCGCCCTTTAGACAGTTTACTCTCTTAAGTATAACGAATTAAAAGAGATTAATTTGAATGTTGTAAATTTTTAAAATTTAACCAATCTAAATGAAAATCATCAAAAGAAACCAAAAAACCAATCCCATTTTGAAACTCAAATCTTTTATCGAAGAAACTCGAATGATCCGAAAAATGATGAAAAAATGTAAAAGAAGAAACTCGATGAAACCCAATTTGATTTAAATTTAACTTCAACAAAGGTAAAAGTCCATGATCATCAAATCGATTTGAATGAAAATCCCATGTTCTTATGATTTGATCATCACCTAATAAAGATAGATATGAATCATTAATTAAGTTTGGAATTGATAATTGTGAATCATGTGAATTTTGATGGTTCGAAATCGTGATTAATGGATCTGATTCTTTTCCATTCACTTTAAGATACCTTAAATCATGTATCTTTACATAACTTGAGAATCAGAACAAAATAAAGTAAATCAGGTTTGTTTTCAAAAGTCAATAATTAAGGATTTGAGGTTTGGGATTTCAATGAAATTAATGGATCCAAGAGAGGGAAATTAACTTACTTTCCTGAACCTACAACTAATAATTGATTCTTATCAGAAAAAGATTTCACATGATAAATTGATCCAGGTTTAGTTAAAATACAATATGGTGATTTATTTGAATTTCGATTCTGAAAATCGAAAACAAGAAAAAGTTAAAGAAAAACTTTGAGAAGATGATAAATTGGAATTTAGGAAATGAGAGAAGAGAATTTAAGAAAGAAAGATTACCTGTTTAATAGGTTTAAGTCTTTGATCGATTTGTAAAACTTTTCCTGATCTTGTTCCTCCTAAAAAAACATCCTGAAAAACCCAAAATAAAAGCAATCATTAAAAAAACCAATTCAAGAAAGAAAACTAGGAAGTGTATTTTAAGCAGAATTCTTCAAGATTGGAAGTTTGAACAAGAGATTGAAATGAAAAGTATAGAGAGATGAGATAGTTATGATGACTTACATTCGAAAGTTGATCAAGTCCAAAAACAGAAGACCCAGTAAAATAAGAATTTCTTAGAATGAATTCTTCAGAATGATGATCAATAAAATTAATATGTTGATCATCACCTTTGATAAAAACACACACAAAAGAATCAGCCAATTTAAACCAAAAATCTAAATCGTAATTTGAAAAGTAAAGTAACTCTTGAAAAAAGATTTACCATAGACTCCTGATTGTTGATTTAATACACTTGACCAAAGGTTTTGATTTGTGAATTCAAAGATTGATGATCTAAAATACACGAGAAACCACTTCAATTCTCCTTTCATGATTCTTGATGTATTTCAAAAAAAAATCGAAAATTACCTTTGTCCATTCATTCCTAATTCTACTTGACCATTCATAGCAGTAAGTCTAAATGTGAAACAAATCAAGAAGATCAATTACCCAACCATTTTTAAGCTGATTTAGGAAAAGAATTTAAAAAATCACTCTACTCAACACATAACGATCTCCATCAACTGAAATCGAGGTGATAGGCTAAACCAAACCAAAAATATCCACCAATCAATTAACGTTTCTTCAAATATCTTTTTTGTATATATTTCAACTTACAGCATTCGGTATGAATTCAAGTTGATTCCAATGTGGAGAAAGTGAATCCAATTTAGTAAAAGAAGTTCTACCAAATCGATCCGAAATCCAAAGTAATTCATTTGGTTTTGTATATACAATTTTTTGAAAGCTGAATTGATTAGGAGTTTGAACTCTTTGAAAATCATTGATAGTTATTGGTTTTTGAAACGCTTGAAGTTGAAGTCTATTATAAACCCCCCAAAAAAATCACACAAGTCAGTATCCATTGTTTTTTTTCAATTTTTTGGGGGGTTTTGGGTTTGAAATGATGTACGTTAGATGATGATGATGAGAGTTGAATCTAGATAATGAAGTACCAGGATGTGATTCGTATAACGATTGAATTGAGATTGGAAAATGAGCTCTTAAACGTAAAGTTGATCGATAAGGGTCCGACGAGGTTCGTTTCTTATGAGGTTTTGGTTTTTTAGTTCTTGAGACTGATTGTTTAGTAGGTATTTCGATTTTTTGATTCGAATGAGACTGAGTTGATGAAGTTGATTTGATTTTTTTAAAATATCGATTTTTCTCTGGGTCAAATTCGTATCCTGGAATCTCAAGTCGTTCTTTCATTCTTCCTTCACTTTCCTGATTCCTAGTTTCTGTTCTCAATCAACGTTTGCTTTAAGGTCTGATTCCTGATCTTCCCATTTGAATGTTCCCGAATGGTTCGTGTCGACTGTTTCGAGCTTGAGTAAACCAATATTGAAACAACTGATCACAAGCTACACATTCGAGAAATTTTTCAATCGGTCATTAAAGTCTAGTCTCAAGTTCTCAATCGGCCTCTCTGCTGTGAGTCGTCGAGGGAGGAAGTTGACTGCAAAATTTCAACCCCACATTGTAACTCCTCCTGACCTAACTCTTACTGTAATGGACTGTATGTGATACATATATCACTTCTACATAGAACAACGAAAGGGTCTTTCTCCCAAAAATGACTCGCCAAGTTGAGCTGACAGTTGTTTTATTTCCTTTGCATTTTTCTCCTTCTTGACCACTGGAATTGGCCACCTGTACAACAGTGGTCCACAAGGACAAAAATGAATAATTGATACATGTGATTTGAAAGGGTACTTTAAGATATGAACCATCAGAAAGGCCAAGATCCATACATATCAAGTTCAAAACCATTTGAGCTCAAAGAGAAATAATGAAATGCAAAAGTATCTCAAGGACAGTGTTAACCACATGAGTCTGACAATACAAAAAATAACATACAACCATGGTAAGATAAACTACGCAGCTAGGGCGAGTGGGGCTTGGGCTTACCATGTTCTTTAACATGGATCATCCTAATAGACGGATGTCATGTTAATCCTGGGAGAGCGAATAAAAAATGAGAGTTGAAAGCTTGACTCACAATTGTTTTCTTGGGATGGATATATATATAAGAAATACTCCTTACAATTATACAACGTGAAGCGGACTGTCGAAAAATGATCATGTTATGGAAGTAATATTATCGTAAAATTAATTGGTTGACGAGGTTTAGAGGCTTTAAATGCATCACCTGGAACGTTCTTTCATCGCAAAACACTGACCACCGTGTTGACCAAGGGTTCAAAACCTGTGTTATCAGGTTGATTTTATTTAAGCTGTTTCTGCAACACAGACCCGCCCTCGAGAACGTATCAAAAGGCACATGTTTTGCAGCAAAAAAATCTCTGATATATCATAGCGAGGAATGAATAGATTTCCTGTGAATTCTGAAAGAGTGAAACCAAAATGAGATTAGAAAACTTGGTTCGCAATTTTTTTTCTTGGAATTAATAAATAGGAAATACTTCTTACAATTGAATAAAGTTGAAGTCACTGTCAAGAATGAGCCTGTGATGAAAGTATTTATATCTTGTCATTATCGGATTGAAGAGGATTGGAGGCTTTGAATGCAGAACCTCGCACGTTGTTTGGCCGGAAAACACTGACCATTATGTTGACCAAGGGTTCAATCGAGCCTGTGGTATCAATTTGATTTCGTTTAAGCTGTTTCTACAACACAGAAAAGATCATTTATTCCAACCTCAAGAACTTCACCAGAAGGCACCTGTTTTCTTGTGAAAACATCTCCAATTATACTGAGAAGCGTAATTAACGCTGAATTTCTTGCCAATCGCCAATTTGGCTATCGCAGTCTTCAAACAAACTGGAAAAAATATGTTGATCAGCGCTCAGTCTCATCACAAAGGAAAACCTGGTACTGCCGATCACGAAAAATGGATACTTCCAATACATTTTAAGCATTATCATACATATTATGTGAAAATGCTAATGAGGCCTGTTACAGGGATGTCAAGGACCGATCAGCTTCAGTTGTATTTCTAGAGTATAAAAAGCTTACTTTTTGCAAAACGCTTCCTTCACCCTCCTCAACCTCAACCACCACTCAACTCGACCATCCCAAAAACCAAAAAACCTTCACAACACTTTCTTCAAACTTTCATCCTTCTCTTCAACCTCTTTATCATATCATCATGAATCTGGCTAACATCTTTGGTCATCGTTTTAAAAAAACCCTCTTTCTTTACTTTCCTTTGAGTTTCTTTTCCGTCATCATCTTGATCTGGAGCCATTGGAAAATCTTTTCTTCAAACAAAGTTCCTTTTTTCTTTCTCTTAAAATTGATTGTTAAAAATTTTTATATCATTCTTCTTTGTGCTCTTCTCCATTCACATACTCTTTACTCTCTTCTTGATATCCCTCCAAAGAAGTCTTCTTCCGACACCGAAAACGAAATCGAACTCGGTCCAGTCGCTCCTACTCCAAAACCTCTTGATGTTGTTTCCCCCACTCCTCAAACCCAAACTCCTCAAAACACTCTTCCATCCGATTTTGTTGTGATTGATCTAGGTATGTCATCTTTCCTAGTCTTCTTTTTTGTCATGATTTTATCAAGCTTTCTTTCAACTAACTCCTGATTTGACAACTGCTTTTAGGTGAAGGTCCCTCAAACTGTGGTCTTCCTGGTCCTCCTCGTCCTTTTCTACATCGCGAAGTCTAATAAATTTGAGTTTATCAAGGTATGTATCTCTTCCTCCCGATTCTCCACTTCTTCCAATTTCTTCAACTTTTCTACATTATACTGACAATTCGCTCTACATCTCTGTCTCCTTGTTTGCAGTGCCTCGATTTCTGAAGTGTTTTTGTAACGATTCCCACACTCTCATTCAGATTTTGAGCTAGTTCAATTTTTTCTAAAAAATTTCAGTCAATTTTCATTGAAATTCTATTATAAAGCAGTGATCTCCTGTCTCATAATTATTGGATGTTACTTTTGCTACCCTCCCCAGAGTCCAATTGCTTTTACCAAACGCGCTAGATGTCGATTCTTGACTTGTTATTCATTTTTCAATTAACTACGTCCCAGAGTCCGTTTTGATTTCCACAGAGATAAGTGACCCAAATGTGTGCCTCCCAATATAGATAACGTAGAGAATCGTGTTGTCCGTCATAAGGCTACAAAGAGGAGACTCTGTAGGCTACATCACGCGATATTCCAAACATTCATCCCAAGATTCCCTCAGTCCCGGTTGTATGAGAAAAAGTAAGACAGTTACGATACCTATTACTTTACATCGTTGAAATCGTTCTTCGCAAACCCAGCCACATTTTCTTCCCTGTCTTAATGTTCAACTCATTGTATTGAGAACTATTTCGTAGATAGCGTAGGGAATCGTATTGTCCGTCATGGACCTACACCGGACGAATCTGTAGACTAGGCCCCGCAACATTCAGATCAGTTATTTTGAAACTTCCTTCCGTTCGTATGAGAAACAATAAGACAGTTGCGATACACATTACTTTGCATGTTTGAAATCGTCGTGATCAAAACCAGCCATATCTTCACCTTTCTCTTGATGTTCTGTCAACCTATCGTATGGAGACCTCCGGCGTGATATCCAGCTTTGCATTGACTTCAAAGATGTAATTTTATCACAGTATTATCGAAGCAGAAAGAACCAAATACCAATAAGATTTCGAAATTTTTGCTTCAAACCTCTACATTTCGACGGTTTTCTTGGTAGTTCTCTGTGACTCAACCTCTAAGGAGTATTTCATGTCACAATTCCGATACCATCATTCGTGTGCAGCTACTTCTATCTGTTTAGTCATTCTGATTTGGTATTGGTGGCATCAGTCCTCATACAAAATCGTGATCTTGTATCTTTCACTTTAATTAAATGTAGTAAACATCAATCTTTGAGTTGTCAATTAATATGAAATCGTTATATCTCGTGGAACCAAGATAAAAGTGACCCAATGGGGATGCATTTCAAAGGTGACAACCGAGGAAGTCGATGATTCCATGACAAGGCTACAACGGTGAAACTCTGTAAGGTACAATATGCGAAATTCAAAAAGGTTATTGAACAATTTCTATAGTCGTTGTTTCTTTGTGAAATTGAAAAGAACATGACAACAAACACTTTACATGTGGAAGATCGGTAAGAAGAGGATATTCAATAAACCTTCCTATATGAACCCCTCTCTAAACCCCTCCCTCTTGCTCTCTCATCGTGATATATTTGTCATCCTATCCTATTGAAAAACTGCTTCGTATAATCCCACTTCGTGATTAGATTTGCATTGAGCTTGAAGCTGTAAGTCCTTGTTTAGATGGTTCTGAATTACAAATATGAGTAAAGTGTGCGGAACATGAGTAGATGATATTGACCACATTAGCGCAAGAAGAAAAAGCAAGCCAACTTACAGTCAGTGAAATACATATGATTTACAAAGAAAACTTTTCCATCGCGACTTTCTCCGTTTTTTCGCAGCTGCTTCCGACAATCCGTGTTTCTCTCCTTTGTTTATCACCCCTTTAGCGTTGGTCCTTTTCAAGCGATTGACTTGTGGTTTAGCCTATTGAATTCATCATGACCACCAGGAATCGAAACTGTTGGATCAGCATCCGTCTCGAGCCAGGTTATTTTATAACATCCTCTGGCCCTGGGCGCTCGATCCAGTGCTTGTGTTATGGTTGGCCGATGCATTTAGATCCAAGGAGACGATGTGTCCATAGGGTGATCAACTGATGGCTTGTCATGAGTGATATTTGATCTTCCCCCATATTCCTTTCTTTCCTGATAACGCAAATGAGATATACCATTGGTCAGTTTACAGATAGGTGATGAAACCAGGTTACAGTCAGACTTACAATATCACGGGGTTTGCGAATTCCGCTATGTAAGTTGATTGAGATGGAGATCCAGGGTAATCCAACCGATAGTCATTCTACATTGTCGTATGATTGGAGGATGTGAGAGCTCGCCAATAAACCAAATGGACGCCGTTGAGGTTTGAGTTGTTGACCAAGTTCGTGTCGATGTGGATATATGCGCTGTTTTGGAATCTTGATCTGGGTTTCATGACGGTCAGAGTATAGAGATGAGCATGTAAAATATGCTTGTACATAGAACGGACCTGCAATCACTGTCAGTCTGTCACCCGAGTGCAACTTGCAAGATTGGACCTTGATCTTTCTTGTAAAGTTTGAACCCATCATTTCACTTCCAACCTGATCCACTTCACACCACATTCCCCAAAGACCAAATCTGATGAATTGGTTACATTTCAAAAACATAACCTCAAATCACAATAACTTAATTAAGAAAAATTAATCCATACATCAAAGATAAGAAATGCCATTGTTCAATAAAACATCAAAGCGAAACACCAACTCATAAAAAAACCAATAGAGCAGCAAGCAATTAGTTATCATCCTCTTCTTCATCAGTCAATTCATCACTAAATTTAATAAAGTCATTGTACTCTGATTGATTCCAATCATCTCTTTTGATCCATTGCCAACCATTTGTAGAAGGTAAAACAATTTTAGGTATCAAAACTGTATACCACTTCTGATGTCTTAAATTAAAAAATTCTATAAAGTTTTGCTTTATACCTAAATCATATGGATGTTTAAATTTCTATCATCAAAAACAAATGTCAACTTTAGTTTTTGAAAGTGGATGAAAAAAGGTGTGGAGAAAAAACTTAACTAATCCTCTTTTCTTCAATAAGTTTGAATAATATTCTATTTTTCAAAATCAAAATATCAATATCCAGTATGAAAAATATTAGAAAAAAGAGAATTTTTGACTGTACCATTATCACTGGATTCTACACTACTTTCACCTTTACCAATCAAAATTAATTGCCAACTCATCATAATTCCTACTGTGATTCCAATCACTAAATTTAATACCCAAGTTAAAATCACAAAAAGTCTAGGTGAATTAAACTCCCACTATATAAAAATACAACACACCAATTGATCAACCAATTTCACAGAAAAAAAAGGGTTAGCATTTCAGTTGAAGGTTTGACTTACTTTTGAATTAAAATTCGTACTAATCAAAAACGATGTCCAACCCCAATAAGTTACCCAAATATTAGAAATTGTCATATAAACCCTATTGATGCATTCATTAACCAAATTTCATAAAATTTAAAGAATTCAAAGATTTGATTAGAATCCTTTGAAGGATTTGATTAAAAATCTGTTGAGAAAAATTGGAAAGCTCGCACAAGAATAATAAAAAGTATCGTTCATTATGTAATCCAACACATTGATTAATCCCTAACAAAATGTAAAAAAGTATACATTGGAATCAGTCTCGAAAGTACGCATACAAACTATTTTGAAATCGGTTTGCAATTATACAAAATTACTCACAAGGACAACTTTGAAAAAAAAAGTAACAAGTCCACAGATAGTCAATGATATCTTCGAATCCAATATTTTAAATTTTGTGCAACTTACTGATGATCATATTTAAGCCAACAAACACCACATATTCGACAATGGTGAGCTCTTGGAGGTTTGAGAGGCGGTATTGAAAGTTCAGGATGAGTCATCAAACATTTCGTACATCTTCTTGGTGGTGGTGGTGGTGGTGGTGTAGTCGTTGATGGTTGCTCTTGCTGGTGTGGTATTGATTTTTTGTTTGATGAAGATTGATTTGAATGTTTATTGATCGAATTAATTATTTTTTGATTTTGATAAGTTAAAGTAGACTTCCTAAACCTATTACTCGAAAGAAAGTTGAACCGAAAAGTATGATTTTGTGGTTGCTGATGATGATTTGTTAGAATCGAACCAGGTTCAACTAAAAAAGAAAGAAAATAATAAAATAATAAACAAAAACTTAAATATAAACTAAAGAAAAGTATTAAAATTGTATAGATTGGATTTGAAGTTGATTTTAAAAATTGATGATAAAAGATCACTTCAAAATAAGTTATATTTGAAATCGTGATTAAACTTAACGCTAAAACAACAAAGAATGGTCCTGTTTTTGATATCAATCGATTACTTAACTTCTCAAAACTTTTAAAACATTTGAATACTAATCTTTTGACCATCGTTCAATAGAGCCTGAGTGATTTGAGCTTTAAGATTTGTTTTCTTTGGTTAAATGCCGATCAAGTTTTGTTTTTGGTTGTTCAAGTCGAAAGGTTGGGTTTTAATTCTTTAAATTCTTCATTTCAATTTTGAGTAATTTCTCTTGATTTTGATTCCTATGACGATGTTTGTTGAAATCGAAAGTTGAAGTAAAGTTGAGTGGTAATATTCAAAATAGAACATCATCACTTTGGCGTTTCATCGATCAGATCACATGACTAAATACAACATCCAATTTGAAGTCAAAACACTTAATATTAGACTTAAGATGGATCTTAAGGCAACGTCTCATCAACTCATCGAACCGAAATATGATGATCATTCAGACAGAAAGCAATGTTGCAGGTCTTACGTCTTCTATATTCCCCAAATTAGTAGAGCCACAAATCCCGGTCAGAAAAATAAGGTTCTGTACAACAGCAAGGCTTTTATAGAAATCAATCTTTGTTGAAGTTACGGTAATCTTATCCAACAAAAAAACACCTTGCAAGAAAATCACAACAAAGATCACTCCAATTAACATTTCCATTTTCAATTTTATTAAATAGGTTCAAATTTTAATTATTTACAGCTTAGTAGTTATATACTTTTTTTAATGACTTTCTTGATTTCTTTAACTAATGGAACTTTTTTAGATCCATGTGGCCACGAATCTCCCCAATGTGATTTTCTTGCATCATAATAATCTGATTTACCTTGTGATTTAGGTATTGTCATTCTTTCAATTTGACCTATTCAAACCAAGAAAAAAACACTCTTTGATCAATTTGGAATTTCTTTCATAAAGAAGGTGAAAAAAAACCGACACTTACCACTTGATGAACATACATCTAAGATTACATGTCCTTTCTTTTTATGTGGTGGTAAGATAATTCTTGGCCAATTAACTGGATTACTTTGAACTTGATGGTCTTCAACTTGATTTGATTCAATCACTTGATCGCTCGAACCCATCTTGATATCATCAACTTCAACAACCTGATCATCCAAACTAAATCTACCTTCATCAAACTTACATTCATCTCTTAAACCTCTTCTAACAATCACATAAGAAAATTTACAATCTTCTTCATCAATCAAAGTATGTTTAGTAACTTTTAAGAATTTAGGTCTTTGAATTCTTTGAGAGAAATGACAAAAATGTTTAGATCCAATTAATGGACAAATCAAATCGTGAGAACAAGGTGCTAAGATCCATGAAGATTCTTGGCTTATTGAACTTCGTTTTCCTAGATTTAATAATTGTTGTCGAGCCATTGAAATTAATTGAAATCCTGATGGTGTACCTCTATCTATAATTATCATAGTTTTGGCTCCTGTTTTCCATAGTTGTAAGATAGCTTGTCGTCTTGATTCTTCATTTGGTAAATCACTTAATGTAAATGACATGATTGCTATTAGATTTTGTTTGTTTTTGATTTTTGATTGGATTGAACTTAGGGTATCTTCTTCTGTAATTTTGGATTCGATTGATTTAGTGTTTTCATCTGCTTCTTGAAATTCTTTCTCTTCTTTCTCTAACTTTTCTAACTCTTCCAACAATTTTTCATCTGTACTCAATTTCCTCCTATTGTCTAATTTATGCGGAGATATTGAAAGACGATGAAATGAAGTCTGAAGGTTCGATTTAGAATTAATCGAATCATCGTGGATCTGATCATTCAGATCGGATTCTGTTGTAGAAGTATCATGATCGTTTTCATTAGTAGGATTAAGTAAATGATCACTCAACCAAATCATACTACTCGATTTCTCAAGTCCATAATAATCAATCTTTGAATTTTTCCAAACTTCTTTTGCTGCCCAAGCCACTGCTCCCGTACCAGATCCGAAATCGATCATTTTGATACTTTCATCATGATTGAAATCTATATTTTTCTGTAATAAAAGTTTTTGGTTTAATTCAATCAAGACTCTTAAGGTTGCACCATAAGTCGATGGCATGACTCCAGCTGAAAATGAAATCGTTTCTAAATGATCATAATTAGTTTTTAATTTAGGTTTAATCGTTGTTTCTGAAATGGTTTTTAAATTTGGATTTGCTTTGGATTCTTCAAGTTCTAATCTTAATTCTGTTTTTGATTTGTTAATTGAATGTTGTGATGATAAAAGTCTATAACGAGAATAGAAAGATTGTGCTGAAGTTCTAATGGTTGATTTATGTTTTATTGAATTGATGATCGATTGGACTCCTTCAATTAATGTAGTAGGTAATTTGATTATGCTTATTCTTGTGAATGCTAGTTTTGCCAAGTTTGATAGTTTGGTGGGTTGGGTTTGTAAGTCGTTGGTTTCTGGGTATTCATCTTGGGATTTTGTTGAGTGATGTATGAATTGGCTTCTGAGGTTCGATTGGAATGATTTGTTCTGATGCAAGTTAAAATGCCGAAGTTCGATCCTTTGATTTCTTTTTAAATTCCTTCCCAGCATTTTTACTTCTGTTCTCGAAGAAATTTTCAGAAATTTCTTTTCCTTCAATTTCAAGACCGCGATTTCTTTTGGTTTGAAGTTTTCTTAAATTTTCATTCACGGCTTCATCTCTTCTGAGCAAATTTTATTTTTTAGAATTAAAGGATCGTTCGTTCTTCTGTTTTATTTCAAAACCAAGACAATATCAAATCAGGTTTAGCAACATGAGCAATGCAAAATTAGGAAAATGGTTTCAACTTACCAAATTTTCATTGATACCTTGTCAAGAATTCCTATTTTCTTCACTTCAGGGTATAACTTGTCAAAAATGAACCACCAATCCAATTCAATGTTTGACTTGAAGATCAAAGCTAAGAGAATGGTCATTTGGACTCACCTTCAAATAGATTCCAGATGCAAATGGCAGCTCTTGTCAAATTTGCAGAAAACTTGAAGTGAAACCGACAAAATGTACCGTACATCACATGACTATCCGGTACCGATCACCAAGGCCACATGTATCATTGTATGCGTCACTCCTGTTGATCGGAATTGGTCAAGAGCCATTAAGAGTCACAACCACACAGAACCATCAAACCATTCTTTATTCATCATCATCATCATCATGGCCTCAGAATCAAATCCAGCTTCGAATCAAGAAACTAGCACTTCAGATCCTACTTCTGCATCAGATACGATCTCATTGAATATCAAAGCGCCTGGTGATTCCAAATTATCATTATCGATTAGTACTTCAAAAACGGTCTTAGATCTAAAGAAATTGATATCAGAAATCACTGATCCTAAAGTTTTACCTGAAAGTCAGAGATGTAAGTCGATGATCAAAACACCCATCTAGTTCTATTGGATTCATTATAAGCTCTCAATTGATATATCTTTTCTGGTCTTTTTGTAAAGTGATCTATTCGGGTCGTGTATTAAAAGATGAATCAATCTTATCTGAATATAAAATTCAATCAGGTCATTCGATTCATATGGTTAAAGGATCTCCTAAACCTCAAACTTCAAGTTCAAGTACTCAACAAATCCCTACTAATTTGAATGCCGGTCAACAAATCTCGGGTAATCCTTTAGCACCACTTTTAAATGCTACCAATCAAATTCCTGCTTTTAATCCATTTGCGGATATGGGCATCAGTTTAGTTTGATTTCCTTCTTTTTCAAAAATATGTCTTCATTGATGATCTAGTGGCAATTCATTTCTCACGAATCACATTGACATTTGATCTTTTAATTTGTAGATCATAATGATCCTAATATGGCAATGAACATGATGGATAATCCTCAAGTGATACAAAGTATAACGAGGATGTTAGAAGATCCAGCGGTAGTTGATCAAATGGTCCGTTAATCAATCATTCCTAACCCAAGATCCATATAGACTTACTGAATGGTCAATTTTTTTCTGATAATTCGAAATTTGCTTAGATTGCTAGCGATCCTCGATTACGATCAATGGGACCACAAGTTCGAGAAATGATGCGATCTCCATTTTTTCGACAACTGATTACCAATCCTGATATGATGAGAGAAATGCAAGGTATGGTGGGTAATTCAGGTGGAATGGGAAACATGATGGGTTTTCCAGGAATGCCAGGGATGGGAGCCCCAGCTGGTGGGGCAGGAACAACACCAGGCGTTAATCCGATAGCTGCTGCACTCGGAGCTCAAGCAGGTGCAGGTGCTCAAACTGGTACTACCCCTGGTGCTACTACTACGCCGGGGTCAAACAATGATACAGCCGCTGCAGGATTAGGCGGAATGGACCCGTTTGCATTTATGAACACACCGCTTGGTCAAATGGCTATGCAGCAGATGGCTGCTGGTGGTGGTGGTGGTGGAATGCCCGGAATGACGGGGATGCCGGGGATGTTTGGTGGATTAGGTCTTCCTCCTAGTCAACCTGCAGATTCGAGACCACCGGAAGAACGATTCGAAGTTCAACTCACTCAATTACAAGGCATGGGTTTCTCAGTACGTTTTTTTCTAAAGGATCATCGACACCATTGATAGAAATCTAAGTTGATATTTTTGTTTTTGTGTCATTTTTTTTGAATGATCAATAGGACGCGCGTCAAAACATCAGAGCTTTACAAGCTAGTGGTGGAAATGTTGAAGCTGCTATTGAATATATATTGGGTGGCAATTAAGTTATATATAATTGATCGAGATCTCTTTGTTATTTTGAATCGTTTTTTTTTCAAGTTTGAACATTTTAAGTTATGATCAATTTTGAATTTGTTTTGTAAGAGAATCAATTTATGTAACGAAAAACAAGAGAGAGATGGAAGGGTTTTATTGGGTTTGTTGATTTCCTTATGATGAGCTTCAAAAATCGGGATCAATTCTCTCAATTGAACAATCAATCTTGATGGATCTCTGTTGATAATGATTGTTTTGCAAAAGTTAACATGCAGAAATCTTAGGGATTTAAATCTTCAAAGAAGTAATATGAATGCTCCAAACTTGATATTAGTCCAAAAAACACACCACTTGTCAAGAGACTGGGAGTCTGGTTGGGTGACCAAGAGCAAGAGAAATCTCAGCTTTTTTCACAAATCATTTTTGGTGGCGTATCCCAAACTTAACTAAGTCCCAACGCTGGACCTAAACTTATCAAAGTCCCCCGCCCGAGTATGTAGCCGCCTAACCACCAACTATGTAAGTTTGGGCGTATCGCTAGAAAAACGGCAACCAAAACGCGGCCGAGAAATGTAAACGACAAAGAACTATAAACGATCCGCTTCGGATGGTCGCGTCAATTCTCGAACTTAACGGGAAAAAAACAGGACATAATGTGAAGCCGAGACCTTTTGATCAAGGATGAGTTGTTACTATGCAGCTTTGTATTGATTCATGACCATTTTTATCAAACTCTCAGCAATCCAATTCAAAACCTGCATGTTAAAAGTACAGAAGCTATGTTCAATGATTTGGAGGAATCAAACAACATCAAACCTTTGAGATATACGTTTGAGAACAGAAGCAGAAAGTTTCAATGAATATAAACATTCCTTCATTACTATAGCATTCGATTTCAAGAATCGCGGTCCGAAATCGGTGTACGTACCTATTATATATATATTTCTCCACTCAGATTGACTTCATACATATATTGATATGGATTCAATTCGGTCATTCCCCTTGCCCTTTCTAGAACGCGTCATAAGATACAACCTTGTTCAAACGCGACTATCCTGATACGAAGGAAGCAAATAATCACCAGTTGATATCTTGAACGCGTAAAACCAAATTTGTGAAACAATCTCTGACCAATGAGAGAAGAGCAAAGATTCGAAGCGCTGCAAGTGGAGATGGGGTAAATTGGCATATAAAAGATCGTGAAGTTCTGATGAAAAGATCTCGAGCAAGTCCCATCAAGTTCTCTTCTGAGTCTGAAGAATTTTGATTTTGAAAAAAATCAAGTTTCCAGATATCGTCTTCTGCCTAGTCTTAGATTAAGATCTCTCCATAATAGTCTGCTAGGATTTTATTTCAAACCTTTTTTTGTTGAGGATGTCTTCGTCGGTTGAAATTCCCATGTCTCGACCTGGATTTGGAAGGTGTGCAGATATTTTAGTTATGTAGTAAAGGCACTTTCTTATAAACGTTTGCATTGATTATCTTTCTATCTCGTTGATTTTCATTTTCAGTGCGGCATTCAAGACCAGTTCTGTATCTTGTAACGTCTTCAGAGTCGGATTGATGGGTCCATTTCCCAAGCAGTCAATCTTTCAATACTCGGTATGTAGTTATCAAGTCTTTCAACTGTGATCAATAAGTTATTGATACTGAGCGAATCTTTCCTTTTTGATCGAAAGGTGCATATGACTGATGCAAAAGACTGGTCGCCACCTGTGGTCTTACGAAAGCGAGTTTTCATAAAGATCTTTGAGATCTTGAAAGAGAGATCTCCTCCAATTTACACCGTTTTCGATGGCGATAAATTGGCATTTAGTCATGCAGACATTCCGAAAGAATCACTTACAGGAGAGGTACGTTTTTTTTGTTCTAAACTCGAAATCCAAAATTAGCTGACTGGTTATTTTTTCTCACTCTGATTTCAGGTGAACGCAAAGAAAGCCAACGAAAAGGATAATGTCTTCAAATACACCGTAAGTAAGATTGTAGACTTCAATCACGGAGATTGAGAACCAACTAATGGCTGTTTCAAAAATTATCATTATAGTTGACGCCGATCAAAGGAGACGTGATGATAGGATCCGATCTCGCCAATTTACTTCTAGGTGCTCAACATCCCAGATTTGCAGGAAAAACAGATGAAGATAAACTTTCATCATTAAATAAAGCTAGACAATTATTCCAAGCTTTAAATATTGCAATCAAATATCCTATCAATTCAGAAGAAGGTCGAAGTTTTTCGACTAATAGAGCCGTTTTTCCGCATGGTGGTAATGATAGACCGATCTCTGGCGGGGTGGTCTTGAAGAGTAAGCAACATATTCTACACATATATATGTATTATATATACATCTCAAAGTTTGATGAAGACTGATCAACTTGACAATTTTCATTTTTTTCTTCAGGAGGATATATGGCCAATCTACGTGTCGGCACCAACACTTCCACCAACAGCCCACCTAACAATTTATTACTCTCGGTCGACTCCACCTGCGCAGCTTTTATTGAGCCAGGTTGTTTAGTTGACGTATCAGCTAAGATACTTAAATGTAGCCCTAGAGATCTCGCAGATCTACGAGATGATAGGAAGAGAAGTTTGCTTCGGGTCGTAAGAAGATTGAGAATTCGAATCAAACGTAATCCTAATGATCCAGGGATTATCAGATCAATTTATGTAAGTTGTTCTCAAATTCAAATGTTCAATATAAAGCTAATCAATTTGTTTGAATCTCTTGCAGGGTTTCGGCTCAAGTAGTGCAACTGAAAGGTTTGAGACCGAAGAGGGTGAACAAACCGTTCAAGTGTGTTAAATATCTTTGATTTATCCGTTGCTTCAATTTTCTTCTCATTTTTGTTTCCTTTCGGTCAATTTTAGGGATTCTTTCAAAAGCATCACGGTATTGAACTTCAAGGACCGCATTTCCCAACCATACAAACATCTGCCAATAAGAGAGCTGTAAGTCTTACTTTAAATCTTTCAATCATAAATAGCTTAGAAGATTAATGAACTAAAATCAAATCATTTTTATAGCTCTATCCAATGGAATTATGTGAAGTTTTACCTGTGAGTTGAAGCGTTAAAGTTACCCTTATTTTTTAAATACGAGGTTTAGAATAAATGACCGAGGATGATTCTTCTTCTTTATTTTAGTGCCAACAATACAAACTAAAGCTTCAAGCTGATCAACAACAAGAAGCTTTAGTTTTTCAAACTTCAAGGTCAGTCTAAGTGATCTCCTGTAAAGACTTGAATCATTATCTGTCTAATTTTGAATCCGCCAATTGCATTTTGAAGGCCTGAAGAGAGATTTCGTGATATCCTGGACGGTTATTATGGTATGATGACACAGGAAGCTCGGGACTTGTGAGTATTTATTCATTGTTTTGGATTTGGATCATTTAGCTGAAACTTCTCCATCGATCTAGAGCAATGGCTTATGGATTAAGCTTTACTAGAGAATGGTTAAATGTACCTTGTAGGATTTTGGAGCCTACAAACTTAATATACGGAGAGTCAGTATTAAAGGCATCTCATTTCATTCTCTCAAACATAAATCAGTGACAGAGTGAAAACTGAATCAATTGTTTTACTTTTAAATCATATCCAGGCGTGGCTCAGCTAGGGCCGAGAGGGGTCAATGGAACATTGCGAGACCGGTTAGGAAGCTTTTACAACCGGGCGAATTGAGATCCTGGTGAGTTTTTTGATTTTAAAGCTGTTCATGTTGTCATTCTTTTGATTTAAATGAATTCTGATTAATAAAAATCATTTTAGGGGTGTGATGACTCTTACATCAAGAAACTTGAATGAAGGAGAATTAAACAATTTCTTTCGTGCGTTTGCGGATAAGCTCAATCAAATAGGTAAGAAGTTTTCTATAATCTATACTTTTAGTTTATTCAAAGATCCAGAGCTCAAATCATCGACACATACTTACTTTATTCTTTTCCCACAGGAATTAATTGGTCTAAAGGAAGAATCCCGATTGTAAGATGTCAAGGGACGTCATTAAATGACATCCGATCCGGTTTGCATGAAACCGGAAAGCAGTGTTATCAAATGTTTGGTGCCGGTCCTCAAATAATCATATGTGTAACTGACGAGAAGAGTCAATTTTACACTATGATTAAGACTGAAAGCGATGTAAGTCAAATTCGATCTGTTCACCTAAGGTTTTTACTGAAATTGGTTTAAGCTACTTTTAGCAACTTGCAGAAAAGGGTGTGACCACCCAATGCATGGTCTCAAAACATTTGTACGTAATTCAAATCAATTTTTCCAAGCTTGATCTTGGTTGCTTAACTCTTTTTGATAATTCAGACGACAAGCTCAAGACCAATATCTTACCAAGTAAGGAAAATTAAATTTGATTTCTCCACTTCGTGATGAAAACACATGCTGATCTTTTTGGTTTCTAGTCTTGCTTTAAAGATGTAAGTCATCTCCTCAAAATAATGCTGATATATGTGATCTAACGCAGTCTGTATACAGTAACATCAAAATTGGAGGAATAAATCATGCTGTCCCAGCTCTTGGTCGAATAACTCAAGGCCCAACGATGCTCGTGGGTGAGTAACTGTCTGAGTTGTGTTCATGATCTTTCCTTATCACTGATTTTTCATTTAAATCTTTTTCAGGTGTTGATTTGAGTCATCAAAACCTGGGTTCAGTCCTCAAACCATCTGTTGTAGGAATGGTGGGTACGATGGACCAACATTTATGTAGATACAGCGGTGTTGTAGGTGTTCAACCACTTTTGGAGCCGGCAAATGAAAAAGCCAGACCCAGATCTCAAGAGGTATGTTTTCTTTGTGAATCGATCAATACTCTGCCTCAAATTCCCTTTACCTTATTTTTTCATATATCACATTTTGACTGGGTGTTTTGTTTTGTTTCATATAGCCAATTGAGAAGTTTGAGGATATGATGTACCAGCTACTTGTAAGATGGAAACAAGTATTTCCAACTCCACAATTTCCAAGAAAGTTGATTATTTTCAGGGATGGCGTTTCTGAAGGGGAATTTGGACAAGTTTTAATAAGAGGTTAGTCTAACTATTTTGGTTTTTATGACAATTTTTTAGAAGAGATCTTTTAAATTGACTTGAAACTTGGATGCTGTAGAATTTGTCGGGGCTAAAAGTACGTTAAAGAAAATGCTCATCACTAATCTTGGTATTCTTTTGATGAGTTGCTTTTATTTTCACAAACAGCTGCTCTTAAAAGAATTGGTGACGTGAACAATGATTGTAAAGTAAGTCATCAAAAAATGACCTTTAAATCATGAAAAATATCTGATTGGATATGAACATTCAGGTTACTTTTATAGTTTGCGCCAAGAGGTAAAACAAACTCAACTCCTACGATGAATCCCAATTGATATGATTCTAATAATTTCAAACATGATTTTAAACAGTCATCGAATTCGATTCTTAGCCTCGCAAGCGGAGCAAGATAAATCCGGAAACGCTCCCGCAGGAATGGTAGTCGATCAAGAAATTGGAGATCCCCACCTTTTTGACTTTTTCTGTCAAAGTCAGGGTGGACTGAAGGGGACTTCTAGGCCTTGTAGATACTGTGTCTTGAAGGATGAAAATTGTTTTAGTCCTGATAATTTACAAGAATTAATTAACTCTGGTAAGCAAAATTTTATCTTCATTATCATCTTATCCATTTGTTGTTGATTGATCTGTTTCTTTTCATTTTTCATTTGTTTAGTTTGTTCCTCATATCAACCAGCAACTCGATCCGTTGGAATTGCAGCACCAGCATATGTAAGTTACATAATCATCTACTTCTAACAATTCAAATGTGGATCCTCGTTACAAACTTCAATTTTACTTGGAAACTTGATTAATTTTGAAATAGTATGCGGACATTTGTAAGTTTGAAATCATTCTCTCAGTCTTGAAAAGTTTGATTATCTTTTAACCATTTGTGTTGTTTTTTTACAGTGGCCGATAGAGGTCGAATGTGGTTAAATGTTGATGACGACCTTGCAAGTTCAGTAACTGGCAATAGTTTGAATGAACAAACCGAGGAACATCGGCTTGCAGATCTTGAAGGCTATAATAACAAGGTTGACAACATGATGAAAAAGATAGATAAAGTCAATCACACGATGTGGTGGACTTGATCATTCTTTCAACTCCATCTCTTGTGATTTGTTGGTTTGATTATTGGATTCCTGACTCGTGCTTTTTCAAAGTTTCTTTTCTTTTGTTTCTCTTTCATCTCTCAATATACGGCTTAAAACATTTTTCTTTGTTTGCCTTTCAAAGACAGAAGTAAATTCATTTAAAGTAAGAGGTCCTTCAAGTCAAGTAGTCTTGCTTTAAATGATCAATTTCTATTTTTAAATCTCTGATGAAGAAAAAACTCATTTGGTCTTACCATTAGTCACTTGTATTTTTACCTCAAACCAATGATCTCTGATTAAAATATCTCAACACGTCTTTTTTCAATTCTTTCAATATTTGTGAGGTGGAAAAACGTCAACAAAATATCTTTCAATCTCTCATAAAGAAGAACTCATTTGACCTTGGTCATTTGTACCTTCCAACTCAAATCAATGATCTCACATTCAAATCTCTGAACATGTTGTTTTCTCATTTCATTTTATTTATGGCTTTGTCAATGTGATTCAGTTTTGTAAGATCAAAAAATATACACGAAATGAAAGAAAGAGCTATGAATGACTTCCAATTGAAACAGTGAGATAACAGAGTACATGTAGATCAATTAGTATCAGAAAAAAGCCCAATGATTAAGATATTTTCATTTTGTTTTTCTGATTTCAAAACAACCATTACCCAATGAAAACTCAAAATTTACAAGGGAGGGAGGGATTCTATTGACCTGTCAGTCATCATGGGTAAAATTTTGCTTATTGAGTGTTTTATCAATCCGCTCAGCATCCCCACATTGGAAGACAAAAAGAATCACAGCTAACTGATGATTTGCGTCTCAAATTTCAACTGGTCACCGGTGTAATCCGACAGGGAAATTCATCTCAAGTGACATGTTTTCAATGTTATATTTAACTCACTGTTGCTTGTTCATCTGCATTCACGATTACAAAGAGGGACATTCAAATTGAGTGTTCTACTTGTGGTATGATGCTCAGGGACTGTATCATCAAATGTTTTACCAAGACAGTCAAAATTTCCCAATTGGAAGACACAAAGATCATACACATTTCAAGTTTTACATGATTGGACAGTGGTACAATCCAACAAGCAATCATGTCAATTTGAGGTATTTTTTACAAAATGTCACTTTGCCCCTAGTAAAATATATGATGGGAAGCATTTCTTCAGACCCTTTGCTCATCACAAGATCCTTATCCAGTGTTGCATCAAACTGCTCAAGAGCGCGGCATTAAAGAATACAGTCACTTGCAGTCAATGATCTTGCAGCAAGCTTTGATTCAAATGAGGAATTGCCTTCAGTGAAATTTGATAAGCAACAACTTTACAGTGACTTCAATCAGGTATCCATATTGAGCAGCCAAAACTCAAGTTTGATTGCCAAGTGTTTCTACAGAGGCTTCAAGTGAATCAGCACCAATGGTATTTCCTTGTCTGATATTTTTCTCCATAAATCCTATTTCTCTTTCACGCTTTCTCTGGTCAATTCCTTTCCATCTCTCCTCAGGAAAGACAACACCTAACTTCATCTCATCTTTTGTTGTTCATAGCTTTCAAGTTTTGTTTTAAATTTTTGGTTTCCAAGAATTTTTGTTGATTTGATGTACTTTCAGATCTGCTTTGACTTTTCCAAAAAGTTGTCAAATCTTATAATTGAGAGCAAGTTCTGAGAGTTGTGGTGACCGGATGTGCAACCTTCTTCAATTGTGTATGTCATTCCCATGAAGCTCAAAAAGTTGATGTTTGCTGCTACATGATTTGTACACTCATTTTTTTAAAGCTCAGCGTTGATAGAATATTGCACTAAACAAGACCCACTCTATAGAAAAAAATGTCGTTGTGGACCAACCTTTTCTTCTCTTTTTTGCTCTCTGGTTGTATCAAGCTCATCTCAATTGTATTCACTGAAAGGTCATCAACTTAGAGTTCCTCTCAAATTGATCAACCATCACTTAGATGTAAGAAACCAAATTCAAATAATGGAATTGAAAAGAATCATTTCTGTATACCAACTGATCTTTAATAAACAACCCACTCTGATAATCAGACCTAAACAGACTTTAAGTATGTACTACTAAAATCAAAGCCAGGTATATCAAGATTCTGTTACATATTTGTACGTTTGATCTCACCTTTTCTTGCCAGGATATGTGCGTTCTGCCACAGCAATTCACAATAAATGAATGAGACAAAGGAAAGACTGAACTAATCATATATATGTATACTATAACATGACCTAGTGAGTGACTTGAAATGGTAGTAAAGACTGTGTATTCAAACGAGTGTGGCGTTTTCGTTTCCTCACCAAACTTGAAGGAAACATTAAATGAGTGATTGAAAAATCGATTTCGAAACCTGTGGCGAGGTCCCAGATTTATGGTGATCTTGTGTTCCTCGCTCTAAATTTGAAATAGTATGTGCATCGTCAAAAGATTTGTCTTAGAAATCTCCCCGAGGGAAATGTGCGGTGTCCAGGATGGCAAAAATGGGCGGATGAAGTTTTCTCAATCACAACTCACCTTGCTTATTCGAAGGGCTCCCCTGTCATGGGATCCATATTCTTTTCGCCCCCTGCTTGCCTGTACGCAACCCCCGCCATAAACGCTTGTTTTCTTTGAGCCGACATCAGTTGACCCAATTCTTCCACTTCGTCAGGGTCGTAGCCTGGTGTACCTTTCATGCTGGCGGCTGCATCTTTCTTGTCGGCGTACTCTTCAGCTTTTTGAGTGGATGCTACGACCACCTTCTTGAGTTCGTCTATGTTGCATCTACCAGGGACTATAGTGCCCATAAAGCACACTAAAAGCACAAGAAGCGATGAGATGTACTTCATGTTCAGGAAAATTGTAGTCTAAATCTTGACTTGAGAATTGTTTAATGGAGAGTAGATAGGTCTGGAGTGATGAAGGAACTTGTAGCTTCAACCTGTCAAGCGCACACATAATATAGGCATTTCATTAGTGCTTCTTTGGTTGAAAAAGTGTTATGCTGGAGCAGTTTCAGCATTCTTTCGTGCATCAAGCTACGGACTTACCCAACCCCAAACATCAGTTGAAATGTTGTCGTAGTCTATGCCCTAAACCTAACAAAGTCCCTTGACTCTTGCGCGAGCCTAGGGAAAAAATCTTGACCGTTCATCTTCCATTTTCATACCTATCTGCTAACATACGACGAGTGTCGCGTATTATTTTTCTTCCTTCATTGAAACTTATACTCAACAAAGTCCCACGCTCGCGGACCAATGACAAACTGGCACGCTTTGGTCTGTTGAGGGGAAAACAATTCTGACACAAACGTGTAGAAAGCTTGAAATTAGTATGGCAGAACCAGTCACCGGAGAGCCACAGCCTCGTGCGGGCTGTCGTATAGCTTCGGGTACCCATCATCCGAAAAGCTAATGCTTCATCAAGTACCAAACGTCACAAGGCAGCAAAATAAATATGAGCTGATGATACACTTGAAATTGTCGCTCTCGGGGAGATAGCGCAGGCTCGCTAGATAGTGCTAGCTCGTTTGTCCCAGGCGGGGACCACCTTCAGTTGAGGCTTATCAAGAGGTATCACTTCCCTGGACATCATGATTCAAAGCTAGGTAAATTCAAAGAATAGTCGGGGAATTGTTTCCGGGATAACTGCAGTCCAGTGGCAATACTTGCAACCGACATATCGCTGGTGATGAGATGGTCTGAGCCAAGATATCACAGTTGAAGATTACCTTACAATCGCGTCTCAGTGAGATAAGAGATGTATGCCTTCCTGTGTCTGAAACCCCCAAAAGATAAGCTACAACCAAAAAATGGGTAATATGTAAGATTTAGAAGGCCGAGGTGCTTTGCGCTAGGGAGGTCATCCAAACATGAAATCAGAAACCCTTGACTGCATGTTGCAGGACCTACTGCCATCGGAAATCGAGGATTTGTCTCTCGGAAGATTGGATGGTTTTAGTACGGACGGTGGCACACAAGCGGAAGCACTGCTCCATCAATTCATGCTCGCATGTGCAACATAGGAAGCTCAAGGATTTGGTGGCAAATTTGGCGTCCTCGAAGTTGACATCTCGAGAATCACTAAAATAGACTTTATTTTCATCCATGAACTTTCTCTGCATCATCACCACTCTTGGCCTTACAGATGGCTTTACCATTTATATACATGAATTACTACAATCGAGAACCAAAGATCGCTGGTTCACATTCCAATGTAGCCAACCGGCTGGTTCATCCCAAATGTGACATAAAATCTTCAGGATATGCTTATCTCAAGTATGATCATGTCTGAGTTATTTGATATCAAGAAGTCGTTGGATTCAAATCGGCGAGACTCTTGAAATTCAAACACTGGATCATATCATTTTTCAACCCTTTGGGTTTCTCGGCAAAAGATAGTAAAACTTGAAATTATATCATTAAATGTGTCCTTAATTCAGATTTCTTTCGAGCATAAAAGGTCTAGAAATCTTCAGTGCCTATCTTTTATTTGATTCATTCTCTAGGATACATATCTCATAACTGTTCCCGACTAGAGTATTTGTATCGCCTTATCTAACTATAATGTCTACAAGTGACATCCAAGGTTTCCTACAATAACGTGAATTGTCATTGTGGATTACAATCAGGTGAGATCGTATTGGTTTTGAATTGCAAGGAGAGAATCAATTTTCTTTGTTGGAATTCTTCTGTCTGCGATATAACCTATGTTCGGTTGCAGGTAGATGGTCATGGAACTGATTTTGGGATTCCGAGGTTGGTGGTTCTGTCGTGGATTCCGAAACGTTGAGATTTACTGGTTGGACATTTTGATCAGGTGTCAATGAGCTATCGGGTTCAGGATTACCAGGAAGAGTAAGCGTTGTCATGTTTGATGGTTTACTGACACCTTCAACTTCACTTCCTGTCATACTTTCTCCCTCAATCAATCCACACATCTTTCTACCATTGACGGTAGTCGAGTTACCGTTCTCGCACTCGATTCCTTCACGCTGAGTTCCATTCTGGTTTTGATAACCTAACATGGATTGTGATTCTGGAGTGACAAGAAGATAATAGCCTTCAACTCCTATGATAGCTTTTGTCATAAGTGCTCCCGTTCCGGCTGGAACAGCGGGGGAGACAATCCGACATGGTCCAGATGAGTCTTGAAGATCTCTTTTACAAATATGAAGTTGATTTGGATGAATTTGATGACTTAGAAGTCGAGACCTGACCGCTTCAGGAAGTCATACATCAGCCAAGCGCTCTTTGAGACGTGATCAAGAAATCAAGCTTACTTGGAAGTTGTAGTCGAAGCTCAACCTCGCCTTTTTCAACCTTTGTTTGAAGAACGTGAACGTATGTACCTAGAAAACAGTTATTGCGTTGGATGTCAAGGCTTTGCCTAAAGAAATTCTATCAGATTAAGCTTCAAATTATCTTACCGACTGCTTGATAGCCAACTGGTAGAAATCCATCAGAGATCACAGCAAGACTTGCAGAAATAGAAAGTGCTTCTTGACTTCTGACCATAACTCGGGTTCCATCTGACCAAGTTCCGATTTGTAGAGGGTAGATAGTGTTTTGAGAAACAGAAGCAGGTGAACCAATCACTTCGAATACACCATCATTAATAGGTAAAAAAGTATTGTATGCTCCATTGGTACATCTCCCTACAACAAGATACTCTCCTGCAGGATTACTTATACCGAGAGATCCTATCTGATTCTTAGTTCGATGGAATGTTGCTCGTTCAAAATCGACTACCCAACCTTGTCTTTCTTTGTGATATTTTGCTAGAAATACATTATCCTCTGTAATATCACTAATCCCATTAAGTTGAATCCGAGCAGCAATATCCATAATAAGGTCATCTGGATCTTCCACTTCAAAATTTAGTGTGTAAGAATAGTTTGACAATTTTGACCACGTTCCACTCAGAGCTGAAGTTGAGGGATCGATCGCTGTGACGAACAAGGGGGTGGCCAAGGGGGAGTTGTTGATAGAGATAGTCATATTGTGCTCAGAAGTTGAAAAGCTATCGATCGTCAAGCCATCGGGGTACTGCAGTTTCGTACGCGACACCTGTTCACATAGAGGAAACAGGTTTGTTAGTGTCAGTATCAAGTCGGAAATCGATTCGATACTTGGGACCATTCAAACTCACTCCTCCCAATATTTTCACCTGAGATTGAAAGCCAACAGATTGTCGTTCATTCACTCCGCCCACGTTCAGGTCTGCTGTGCACCTGGGGATGATCCGGAAGAGTGTGTTGATGAAAAGAATGAGGTGCATCATGGGGAGGTAAAGAGAGTAATATTGACAAATGAGTGAAAAAGTAGTGTCAGTACCACTACCTGATTAGAACAGTGTGTGATAGAGATCCTTTCAAGGTATAAAGGGTCGTATGTGGTATAGGATGAAATGCGATACGTGAAACAATGATTAAGAGAATTCCCTCATCATGCCGAACGCTAAGGATAGGAAATGTACCATCTCATATCATATCTTCCATCTGCCAAGAAGTATGATTAATCCAGTCAGTAAGTTCTGAAACGCCCAGGATTAGTGTTTCGACCCCATACCGATGATACAGCGGCTACTTAGCAGGGTGCAAAGCCCGATCTTCCGCTTGGGGATCACCTTCATACACGTATAGACGGCCATTTGAGCGCGACCGGTCAGGGAGAGACAAGCCGAGTCTGAGCATCACCTGTTGCTTGGAGGCAGTAAGCTTCACGAAAAGTCTGCAAGGCGTTGCTATGGTCATCCTGAACTGCTTCTACAACTCGCACGGGAAAGCAGGCCTTCCGGCTAGAGCCGTGGTCATCTGGATTCAGGAATCTGACCAGCGAATTTTACTTTCAAACCTGAACCAAACCTATCTTGACGATGATGAATGTCACCCTAAGTAGTTGAAGTACAAAACGTCAGGTATCTTATCATCACTGACACCAACCAACATTGTGAGATTGGAAGTTCGGTCGCACAAGAGACTAACACAACCATCATTACATTTATCTCGGCGAAAAGCGTGATTTTGATGGTATAAGAACAATTAGTGAAAAGATTTAATTTAGCGCGATGCTTAGACAAAATCGCGTTCAATGTAGATAAGTGAAGACTGCTCTGTCATAGACTCGTTGAAGCTTTGGGTTTCAATGAACGCTGGATGTCATATTCGTGTAGTGAAAACCCTTCGATGAATTTAGAGAATTATTATCACGCCATCATCTTGTAGAAGGATCATGGTCTAGATTACATCCCGCCGTATGGAACCCGCTTGATTTTGCCGTTGATAGACTGAGAATTGAGTCAGGCCAGTCGTTGAGATCGAAATGATGAGGTATGAACATACGATTTTTCAAAGGAAACAAGTTCAGTGGATTCATAGTTTGAGAGCGCAAAGTGAATGAGATTTGAGACCTACATGAGCATTCCATGCCATCTGACGGAATTCAATCACTGGAATCACCTCTGGTAAAGAAATTTTACCATCCACCTGACCGTCGATTCCTTCAGTCATATAAAGTGAATTTAACCAAGTTTTAACTTCTACTCCTACTCGATTAAGTAATCCTTCCCGCATATCAGCTTCCGAGACTCCTTCATCAGGTGCTATGACCATGGAGATTCGCATCAGACCTATATCTTTTGAGTTAGAAATCCGATCTCCTTCTTCCATACTAGAATCGGATGATGATTGAACGTATGGAACTTTATTCTCAAAGAACTCTGAACCAGCAAATTGAGTGATGATAGGTACGAAAACGATTTGTAATTTTGATAAATCTAGTATTTTGGTAAATCAAGGTCGTTGTTCGTAAAATCATTCAATATCAACATTCAAGATCCTTCTCAAAACGAAACTAAGAAGAACTGATGGAAATCAATTGAAAAGAAACTTGAAATGAATCAAAACGGAGGATTCTACTTGCCTGCTTTTCCGTCGCTACAGACCTTGAATGCCATTGAGATCCTTCGTGCTAAATCAGATCTATGAAGATTGGTGAGATTGGGTAGTGAGCACCATACTTCAACCACTGACATGGCTGGTTCGAATCGGAATGATAAAAAATATATCGTGTATCAAGATGAAAGAATCGATATCTCAAAACAAGTTGGTTCAATCAAAGCCTCGATCATAAGAAAGAAGAATATGTAAATGTTTGAACTTTGTACAAACAAAGCCTGACCCAAATCCCCCGTCGAACTGCTCGAGTTGTACGGAAGAACTTCGCCAAGCTTTTTTGAATTTGACAATCCAACTTTTTTCAATTACAAGTTAAAAATTAATCAGATCTTCCAAAGCGGAATGACTCGCCACAAGATGATAATCAGGAAGCATTGAAAACTAGAGAGGAAATGACAAGACCCACCGAAAATGTAAGATATCAGGTATGTGAATCTAGATGAAATTGAGCTGGATATGAGTGGTTAGTCAGAAGGTCCTTAAGATGATAGCCAGTGATCGAACATTCACTTCAATAACAAAAATCGAGAGAACAAAACATATGAAGATTGGGGAATAACAATTTCTTCCAATATTAAGACATACTACGATGGGACTTATGTACGATAAAACTTGTAATCAACCTCACTGAAAATGAAGAATCGGATCTTGAGATCAACTTGAAAGACTAATTAAACCGTTTTGAAATACTTTCTTCATTATCATCATCTCTTCCACTAGTTTTACCACGTTCGAGTAATCAATTTAACAAAGTTTGTTCAGGACAAGTCAAAAACAACACAAAAGATGATTCACAAACCTAAATCGATCGATCAATCAATCAAGGTCGATCAACTTGTGAGATTCGATAACAAGAAAAAAGGGGATCGAATCAAATCGTATCAATCACTCACATCTTCATCAAATTTGATGGCCTGATCCATTTTCCTAGGAAACCTATCAACTAAAAACCGAGCATTTCCATTCTTAAAAGCCTCACCAATCAAATTCTCAAGTAATTTGATCATTTGATCATCGCTTCCATAGGTACGATTTGACCTCCAGTAATATATTCTTTAATCAGCTTTCCATAATCAGATCCTTCTCTTTGTTGTTATGCTCTTAATAAATCACCTGTGAGCTTAATTTGAATCCCAAAACGGCCTTCCTATCAATCAAAAAAACTCATTAATGACCTTTGTGTTGATCGTGATATTAATTTTGAAAGAAGAAGAAGTGGAACCTTTTCTTTAAATGGATACCGGAGACAGTCTGCTTTGCAAAGGAACATCCGCATAAGAACGAAACAATGATGTCAGTCAGATTTTGCTCAAAATCTTCAATAAAATCGCTAAAGTGTTGATAACTGTACCTGTAGATGATGAAGTCCTGCTGAACCAATGGCCTGGAGTGTTCAAGGTGCCGGAAAGAGATATTGGAAGTCCAGGAAGGGTCCCGATGGAACCTGGTTGGATGATGGGGTGGGGTGTAGGCTCGAGCCCTGGAGCCACGCACGTGAGGTGAATACAAGACAAATGCTGCAGCGTGAGAAGCCTTGTCAAATGTCCATTGAAGCAGTATTGGACAACCGTGAGGAAGTGGCATGGTAGCTTTAGAGAGATTTGAGCGTCGGAGAAACTACATTTTGGGTCAAAAACTAATCTTAACTGGGGTTTTGGGCTTTTGAGTTTTTGCCAAAAATACAGGCTTTTGCCCAAAATCTGCCAATGATTCTTGGAACGGCTGTAGATATGTATCATTAATCGCAAATCGCTTGAATGTTAAGTTGATGGAAAAACTTTCAGCTCTTAAATACATAGGTTGACAATGACACCGATTCACGTTAACCGTTTTATGACAAATCCTGGGGTTCCTATCGTATCAAAAATCCAAGATCAATCAATGTTTTCGACATTTAACCACGCATGGAAAACCATTAGCTTCCAATTGTAGAGCGATACCGATACAGAGAGATCAGGCTTTTTCAAAGATGCCTACACCGCGGCATGCTGAAATTTGGATATGTAGTAGAAAACGGAGTCTGAGAAAACGTGGTCGGAGATCCTCCCACCCTTTTCTTCCTACCCGTCAAGATAACTGGTTTGATTTGAATCAAAGTGAGTACACAGAAGCTTTTAGGAATCTTGCAAACTGCTCATCTAGCTTTGAAAATTGATGCACCTTGATGCACTCTGGCTAGCTTTGAGTTCTTGGATCTTGCTCGATGAGTTCCCCCCACTTTTTTTGGCTATAACTTTCCCGGTTCAGTCATGGAAAGACACTCTCTTAATGTGGTGCTGAAGTCTGTTGAAGTCCTTAGCTATTGAAAGTTGAAATCTCATGCCTGAAACTGTTTTGTCACCAGGGATTGGTTGCATGCACAGTATCACCCTCACTTAACTCAAGTCTCTCGGTGCCCACCACCTTTCGAGAGGATTATGTCGAAAGCGAGTCTCATCAAAGGTACTTTTCGTCCTGAAAATCATTCCCCCACTCCTTTTTTGAGTAACAGACTACAACGGAACACAAGTGGTGTAATTATTCCTGGGCGCTTTTGATCTATCTCTCCAGACACCAGGCCTTGCGCTAGCATAACACAAGCCCCACCAAACCGCAGACGTCCACCGGATCTGGAGGAGGGACTTTGTTGATTTAGGACCTTGCAAGGGTCAATTGTCTCACTAGGGACTTGTTCAAGTTAGTGATTCAGATCTTGCTATCTTAAATCAGGGATTCAGAGAGGTTTGAGGATGACTCCAAATTCTCAACTTGAAATACTCCTACAGCTCTTCAACAACATGAATCCCATACTGGTCCATTGACAGAGAAGAAGAAAAAAATCTCACAGAGCATGCAAGCATGGCAAGGTGTTGTTGTCTGTAAACCTGATTGCCGCTTGGACAATCTACACCCATGGCACATATGTGGTCTCCTTGGTTTTACTTAAGCTTTTGCAAGTTACATAGTCACTACATGGTCAAACCTAACCTGTCCCTCTCCCTTGCACAAACACTTGTCATGGGCAATCTCAAATTTCAAGTGTGAGATATGTTGGGGCATTCTGTGCAATCCACTCTTGTATTATGATACTCTTTTTCCTCATCACTTTCCGTAGTCCAGGAACAAGAAAAATGTGCTATCAATCTCCCTATGACCTCCAATATACCATTCCTAAAAAAAGTATCAGCTGAGGAGATCAGAGAAGATATTTGGAGCTGAATCCTGATGATCACTCAGGTCTGTACAAGACTGTGGAGGAAAAAACCCCACTTTCTGGGACGAAATTTACAAGCTAGATGATCACACTATTGTTTGAGCAACAACAAGCAAGATCCTCAGTTCTCTTAGTGAAAACTCTCCCATCTATCTTCAAATGGATCCCCTTATCCTCCTTCTTTTGATTTGTGGTCATCTTCTCCTTTCTTTTAACACTTAAAGCTGATTTTCCCATTAAACTGGGTAGAAAATTTCTGACAGTGTCCTTCTGACATCAACTACCCCTATTGCTTCACTGCAAAAAAGCGGTTCCCTGTGTGTTTTTCCAATTCCAGCCAATTATCCAATATTGAATTTCTCCATGCATCTCAATAATAATCTATATGCAGTCTCATTGCATTCCAAAGACTTTTGAAATCTGGCCATTGCACATAAGCCCCTTGTTGGGGGTGGCCATCAGTGAGTGACGTATTTAGGTTTGTCCAAAAAACAACATCCCAAAGACAAAGCTTTGCAAAATCATTCTTTTAACTGCAAACTTGTCCTGTCCCTCTCCCTTGCAAGGACTGAAATGATACTTTGCAAAAGTGCTGTTTTGACTGTATGACATAAATCCAAAGTTTATATATGATGCACAGCAATTACAATTGCTGTAAAGATTGTGGTGCAGACTCTCAGCCTCAAGAGGATTTGGTTGGTATCTTTTTTATCTCCATTGCAAATATGAACAATTGGGAAGTTGGAGGTTGTAAGGAGAGTGATAGCACATTTTTTTGTTCTTGACTACAGCAAAAGTGTTAATAAAGAAAAGAAATTTCATCATACAAGAGTGGTTTGGGAAAAATGCCCCAACAGTTCTCACACTTGACATTTCAGATGGTCTGTGAGTACAAACTTAACTAAGTTTGTCTTGAGCTCAAGGCGCTCAAAAGAGGGACTTGGACACAATGTTGATTTTTTGGCCTGAGATTGGCCAGGGATTTTCTCCAAAAACTGGCCTCCTTATGGAACCTTTTTGTACTGTGAAGTCTGCAGTTTGACTTTGAGTCTTCAATGACTTTGTATATATCTTTAAAGCCACAAACCTATTGCAAAGCTCAGAGTTTCAGACTGTAGAGGTGATTGAGGTGCATGTTTTTCATTAAATTTATAGGGATGTAGCCATGTTGCAATTTTATAAAAACTTTCTGAGGAGGCCAGTTTTTGGTGAAAAGCCCCGGCCAAAATCAGGCCAAAAATTTGACAGTGTGTCTATATAAGACCCTAGAGCTGCTCAAGAGGGATTGGTTAAGTTTGACATAAGTCCCTCTCTTGAGTCAGAACAGGTTAAGTTTACTACATGGGTAGTTCTATGTAGTTATTGCCATTGGGTGAAATGGTGATTGTTTTATTCTGTTGGCAATGTACATAATTAGTAGTCTATATATCTTTGACTTTTCAAAACCTGCTACAGCCATTCAGAGAGTCAAACACTTTGTATGAAAACAACTACTCAAAACAATTTCTGAGGCAATAAAGGGGTAGGCTTGTAAAGACAAAACCCACCATCCCCATCACACCTACAGTCAACTTCTTTTCACAAATCATTCCTTGACTCCACAATTCAGCTTGTTCTCAGCATGAAGAACTTTCTCTCATTTATCATCCTCTTCCTCTGTATGATGAACACTTTAGTCGACATAGAAGCATTGAAGAAAAAGGCTATAAAGGCCTTTCACCAAGTAAAATATTCTCAGTCAGAATCCAAAAAAAGCCATCATGCACCAGAACTTTGTGTTTTGAAAAACCAAATTCACAAGGCGCAAAAGATTGCTATTGAAAAGAGAACTGCATAAAATTATGAGGGTGGTGGTCTCATTCCCACTGAGGAGTGGAGCCACAGTTACAAACAAAATGCAGAGTGAGTTATGGTGTAAAAGAAGAACCCAATTTCAAGTCTTGGCTACTTAGTCTTGAATATGTCACTACCTTCAATGCAATGGATTACACTAACATAACCATTCTCTTCAGCGCCCCAGCAATGCCACCAGGCAGTATCTAGAACCTCAGCACTTTCATATTTTGTTTGGAATTTGGTTGTTCTATCTTTGAATTCTTCTTTGGATCTCAAGTTTGGTGAAGCAACACAAATCGACTGAGGAAATTTTGATACTTGAATCAAAGGCTTTGCAGCTTTGTATCATCAGATTTATATGTCCTTCATTTCATCCATAGATCATAATCCCTCCATTTCACCAAATCCATCTGTCAATGTTCCTATCATCACTTCAGTATTAAATTCCTATCTCAATCATACCTTTTCATGTGTTTACAGATATTCTTCATACATAAGACAATCATCAAAGAGCTTTTGCCTATCCAAATACCAGTCACTTTGATCTTAGTGGCCAAAGCTTCAGTACCATATATGTCCTCATGATGGCCATACAAGACTTGTTCAAGACCAGAGGTTGTTTAGTGAGATTGAAGTTTGCCATGTCATTCAACGTTCCTAATTATGTCCAGAGGCTTTCTGCTACATACCTCAGAGTCATATATTAGAACATGCATGTCAAGTCAACTGGCCTAGTCCTGACTGCTTATGGAAAGCTTCCATTTCTATTTGTATGCTAGGGTAAAAATCAAAATGATGAATTTTTTCCTTGTACAACTTGTATGACACAAAATATGACTTGAGAAAAGGGAAATTACAAGAATCATGGAGACTGCAGTGAACTTTGCACAAGGAGAAAGAGTGCATGCAATTGATTCTACCCTTCCGACGCAATTTGTAAGCAAGGCCTACGGTAAAAGAACAATCGCGTAGGTTGTGAGCCACAGCTCAGAGCTCAGTGCTTGTTGTCGGCCTTCAAACTTGTTGGATAACAAAATGTGTGCAGGATTGCGAGGATATTCCCAGCCAAAATCACAACCCTATCCTTTGTCTGCGTGCAATACGGCGCGAGTGCCTCCGATGCGCTTGGAGTATCGAGCAACAGCGGGTGAAAGCTGTGTATTGAATGAGCCTTCAAATTAAAATGACTGTTAATAGTGATTCACATTGAATGATTAACTTAAAAAATTCCCGTCACTCATAGGACTTTGTTCAGTTCAAGTGAGTGTGGTGAATAAACAAACCCTGGATTTCATCATTGTGTTACTGAGTGGAGGTTAGTTCCATGGTACTCAATTAATCACTTGATCAAGTATGAAGAAAGATCACCTACCATTCTTGAGTTATGTTTCAGTAAAGAGCTCATTTTTTTTAAGAAGGCTACATCACGGCATATTGCAGACTGGAGTGTACTTCGTAGACAGTTGATTCATTTCAAACCAAGGAAGATGCTGAAGCTTGTAGGAACTTTGTGAACTCTGCAACTTGCTTCAATACACTGTGACTAGCATTGACTTTTGAGATCTTGCAAGGCGAGTTATCCCCATTTTTTCGCTACAGTTTCACGGGCACAGTCAAAACTCCAAAAGATATACATTGGACGTGGTGCTGAGGCCTTTTGAAATTTCTTGCCTGAAACTGTTTTGTCAACAGGGGTGTATGCAGGATAACACCATTCAAAGGTACGTTTTCATCCTGAAATTATCCTCCCATTGCTTTTTCAAGAAACTTCATGTAAGAACATGAACCAAGTCACATTCTCCCAGTGCGCTTATGGTCTCTTGAGGTGTAGCGTCACACAAGCCCCATCAAACGCGGGACTTTCACCCGCCTCATCCCGATGACTGGGATTCGTTAGTTGATAGCTTACAAGGATCCAGTGTCTCACTGAGGGGGAACTTGATCGAGTTAGATCTTGATTCACAGTGGGGTAACGGGTTTGAGTAATGAGTTTTTTGAAATCAAAATAATCCTACTGCTGTTCAGCAGAATGAATCACATACATACAACCTAGTCTCCTGTACACTAAAGCCATCAACGGGGAAGAGGATCAGGAAAGGAATTTATTCACAAACGATGCAGCCATTGCAAGTTAGAGCTCTTCATCAGTCGATGATGGTGTAACACCTCTCGCTCGTAGTTTCAGGCTTTGGTAAGTTGATACTAGGGGTGTGGGCTGGATGGATTACTAGAGTCAAACACTTCATACGGAAAGAAGTATGCATGTACTGAATCAAAACCTCTGAAGCTATATAATCGATGTGCTTGATCACAAGAGATCCTTCACCACATCCTCCGTTACACCTCCATCTACTTCGTAAAACAATTCTTTATTCCAAACTTCAACTATTTCTCAACATGAATTGCTTTCTCGTATTGTCTGTCCTGTTCCTCTGTATGATGAGCACTTTAGCCACCTTAACACCACAGATGATGGTTAGATTAAGGAAAGATCTTATATGGGGTTATCAACAAGTAGAACATTATCAGCTTGAGATTGACAGTACTATCATAACACACACCCCGGAAGAACTGGAGCAATTGAAAAGTTTCAAGGCGGTTTCTCAAGGGATTGTTGACGGTCATGAGAAGATCTGGTTTGACAATGGCGGTGAGGTGATCCCCAAGTGGGAGTGGAGCCGCAGGTACAACTCAGCGTGAGTCATGATCAAAAGGAAAACTCCATCTCAAGTTTTGATTACTTTGTATGTCACTGCTTTCAGCGTAATTGATCCCATTAACATGACCGTTTTCCTTAGAGCCCCAGCGGCACAAGTGGGCGGGTTAGACGATTAGGAGATCAGCACTTTCTTACATCGACATCGGAATATGGTTATACTATCACTCGAACTTAGATATTATTTATCTGATTCTAACTGAATAACAACAACTTTTATCTGTGAATATTCATATTTCAACATTAATTTTCTATCTTACTTACACGTTTTCATTCTACAAATATTCTTCATATAAAACACGGCAAGCAAACACGCACCCTATCATATACATATTCTGATGTCAGTCACTTTGATTTCGGTCTTATGGTCATGAGACGACCTTGTAGATGCTAAGAGCAGGGCCTATAGACCCAAGCACACAATTGAGATCACATAACTTGAGATGTGTACCATCAGAAGAGAATACATTTCAGCTCCAGTGAAGTTTGCACTCGTGGAAGAAACGTTCCCGTACTTGATGCTCTGCCTGATCCCCTAATCTACTCACCATCTTTCAAGGCTCAAGGCGGGGATCAAAATGAGAAGCAGTGATTCAAGGGTGCATTCCAAAAAAAATTACAAATCAACAACTTCATTTTCATCCTCCCATTCCGTCCTTCAAGGCTGGCATCTTCGTCTTTTCATCTTATCTTAGGGTGAGCAGCAAGTAGATCAATGTGAGGTGCCTAGTGGACAGTGTCTAGAACATTTTGAGCATCCATATGATACACGTTAATCATCAATCAGATCCTTCACTACCTTCTTCATACATCCCCTCAACATCTGCATGGGGATTTGCGAAGGATTGAGCGTTGAGCAAGTGCCACGCTGGTGGATTGACCTCATATCCTTCACTTCCTCTGCGTACACGGGGCGTGAATCTGTGAGACAACGACGCCGAAGTTGATAAAACGGTTGAATGTACAGGGTTTGCCCGACTAGTACGACGTGCTAGCACATTAGCAAGCGGTTCATCATCATCATCGGACCGATCCAGAGTAGAAGTGTCTAGATTGACCATCCGAGCTGAGTCCGATTGTTCGTCCGATTCCGTTGATCTGAATCGGCGATCATAGTCTATTCCTATCTCCTGGTCATCATATTCAGGATGATAAGGTGGAACTAGTCTACGACGAGAGCCGACAGATCCTGATACATCATAGGGATGTACGATTGACTTGGTAGCAATTAAATTAGAATTTAAAGCTTCGCCATAGGTGAAAGGTTGAGTAGGCCGATTGGGAGGGGGTCTACGACTAGTCTGAGTGCGTCGAGTAAATAGATCCTGGGGTGGCCATACATATTGTTCAAGAGGATCTGAAGAATACGACGGTGTTGGTTTTAGTGAAGTAAATCACCTCGGAGATCTAGAAAAAGACACAAGGAATAAACTAACCGAGTCCTGACTGCACAGGGAAAGAGAGCCCATCTCCACGCATACGCTGAGGCCAAAACCAAAGTAATGGATTTTTTCCTAGTACAGCTTGTATATTACGAAACACACCTAGAGAAAATGGAAATGTGAACTGATATAGACATAAGGATGTTGGAGACTGAATTTCAAGTTGTGCAGGAAGAAACAGTACTAAACCTGATTGATTCTACCCTTCCGTCGTAACTTTTGTGCATTTTCCTTTTCCCAACCTTCAATCGAAGTAGTATTATTGAGCAAAGACCAAAGGTGATACAGACTCATCACTCCCACTGCCAACACTACCGGCATACACGCCACATAATTCGTGATCAAGAATAGCATTTCAGTCGTTGTAGGTGGTGGCTGTCCAATATGCGAGCAACAGAAGATGTGAGTTGCCTGCACTGTCTGTATATTGGTGACAAGAGTATACTCGTACACCGTAATAAGAGTATCGACCAAACGCTCGCTTGCTGATGAGCCATATATGATATGAGCATCCAAGATTGACAAAAGCGAGGAATCGAACAAAGTGACCGTGATTGAAATATCCGACACAATTATTGACCCAGGGGCACTAACAAGAATGTCCGTTTGTGCGAGTCAACATACTTATGTATACATGATCAGAGTTGTAAGAAGAGCTAGCTGACGTGGTGATCCATCTTGAGGACGCATCTAAGAATCCCATTCGAAAGAATCCGCTTGTCATGATTGGTTTTGATTTATGTTGTTTGCGGTGAGATGATCAAAAAGGCCAACCTATGACATTGTCTACAATGATGTGTTCTCGGAGGTTTATAGACTCGACATGCCTTACAGAAGCGTAGATTCGCAATCAATGACTGTTTATCGATATCTTCTCGTTGTCGATCGATGGCCTGGTCGGGGTCCTACATACACCAAAACCATTTGAAAAACGACCTATTCGTGGAGAGTTGAAAGATTACGAACCCAGTCTTTTGGAACACGTCCCGGATCAGTTGTGACGCAGAGCGCGTAGTTGACAAAAATCATCAAGACGAGGAGATTGAAAGGAACCAGAAGTCTGAGACACTCATGATCCCAAACGCTTGGAAAAAGTGGTATGATGATGAAGATTTGTGATGTGTAAGCTAAGAATGCAATCAAAGAGACAGTTCCACCTATCCTAATATCAATGTGTTGAGAAATGTTTATCGTCAGAGAACTATGAAACCATGAAAAACGATTGATCGAGCGCATTACCAGATTCGACCTATGACGTCAGACGCGTTTGTCATTCAGAGGAGCTTCGAGTATGTTGAAGTTACTCGCAGGGTTGAGAGTCGAAGCTATAAGGTTATTTTTCAGTCTTCAGTCTTTGAGTCTCAGCAAGATGTGATAAAGAAATCGAAATAGCCATGAACGAGAACAACAGTGAGATTGAAGATAAGTATGGGATTCACAAATCACAGTATGTGATTACAGATAGCGAAAGTGACGTCTCATAATAAAGCTGCGGGTTTGCCCTGCTTGCTAGGGCCGTACCACGACGGACCCACTGACACGGGTACATTTCACGCTTCCCTCTGAAAGGAGTCCTCGACTGGCGAGGTTTATGAAACCGACTTCGAAAAATTGAACAAAGATAATCATACCCGAACCATCAAGGACTTGGTTCGGAAGAAAATAGACGAGGATCAAGGTTGAAGAAATTCATCATGAAAAGCTTTTCATCTTTTAGACTTCGATTCGGATGCGTTAGATGGGAATAAATACGATTTAGCAAATGACCGAGTCTGTACCTCGTATTTATTCTTACTTTACCGACTTTGTATATCGATCGTTACTGCTACCTCAGTATGAGATTGCTTTCAAAGTAATTCATTCGGTTGATGAATTTTTGAATCTCCCAGTTTGTCGACTCAAAGTGCCTCATGGCATTTATTGTCACTTGAGGCGTTCAAAGATCTTCAATCATCATCGAAGCTTTCAAATTATCTCCTGCTATAAGGGCTCATGCAGTATCAATCAGTTCAAGCAAAGGTTCGAGGACAGAGTGTATTAGTTAACATGTTGACTGTTTGACAGAATGTTGGTTATACTCTGGAGACTCATGTCTAAGACCGGCCACCATTCTAGCGTAACAACGAAATCAAAAATCATCTCATTTGTTGGACTCGGCATTTCTCCAGTAGATACATTTTTGATTTATATTAGGAAAACAAAGATTCTAGTGTGTCTACTACTCTAGTATCATCTACAGATTTAAATAGTTTGGCGGTCTTCTCTCTGAAATAAATTTGATCATGACATGATGTTTGTTTTTGAGATTCAGGGTTCTTATAGGCAAACAGAAACCTTGCCTTTCCAAAAAAATATCGTGTTATACACTTCACATTTCTGGCGAAAGTGACATAAGTCTGTGTTTATTATCAGGTCTCAGCACCAGGATTGCTTATATGAGGATCCACCCCGCTGCAAATTAAGTGAACACGTCTTATAATTGTGAATTTATGAACTAGAGAGATTTGGAGTGGTTCAAGAAGAGTCAAAGAGAACATGAACCGGCGTAACAGGTATCATAGGATTGCCATGTGAAACTTTCCCAAAAATCAATGATGTTGCTCGATCATTCGGAAACCGCCACGATGATAAGGAAACTAATTCCATAACATTAAGCAGAAAAGGGATTTCTCTTTCTTGAACATACATTGACCCAGAAATTCTGAAGTCGAGCTTGCAAAGGGATTGAATTTATGTGTATAGACTTGACCACATTGATAGGGAGGAAGTGTTCTCCTCAACTCAACGGTAAAAAAAGTAGACAAAGTCAAATATCATCTCAAGTGAAAAGTTGACTCGAGAAGTGTACTCTCAGCAAAAAATAAAAATTTAGCTCCAGTTTGCTTTTCACAAGGAAGATAAAGAAGCTCTCTTCTGTGTCAGATATCACAGTATATGCCCAGATGATATGTTGAACTCTCATTATCTCTCAAGATACTTGGATATGTTGTGCTTCTCTTTGTGGGTTAAAGATCTTGTGCAACCATCAAAATCACATCTTGGTACAGAACGATGTTTCTCTCAAATCTCATAGTGACTGTAACTTACATCAAGATTCACTATGGCTGATGTCTTTTTGGAAACTGGCTCATTTGCACACATTTTATGATTTAGGAGTACGATCTAGACAGATTCATTATAAGATTGAAGCGGACTCGAAGAAATCATGGACAATCGTAACAAGTATCATATGAATTTCTTGTAGAAAGTTCCCGAAAATCATTGACATTACTTGATCATAAACGTACTCCACCATAAATATCCTCCAATGATGAACAGGAGAGTGAAGTGACAAGATCGAGTAGAAAAGACTCTAAGATTTCTAAACAGCTACATCCACCCCGAGGTCCTGACATCGAAGATGGAAAGAAAACAGTACACAACCCATAAGAACAGAAGGCAAGAAGCGCTCACCAAAAACCAATACATGTATATTTTTTTCAGAGACGATTGACAGTTGAGAGAAGACAAAAACTGTTTTACATAAAATAATAAAGACAAGGAGTGTATGTGAAGAAGTTGATAAGGCAGTTTGAACAAGATATTCATCTAGAGAGAAATTGATTACAATTTTATCATCCTGGTGCATTCCTTCACCACCAGGACCTATGGCGTAGTCATCTTGCTCTTCCATAAATGAACGAGCAAAGACGGAAGGATCCGCTAATTCTCATGTCCAAAGATCATAGACATGGAGGAATAGAGAAAATGAGAGGATGTGAAATAGTCAAGATCAAACTATACATGATGAAGGAATGGAAAGAAATCAGTACACAACTCATAAGAATGAAAGGAAAGAAGTGCTCACCTCAATTCAATGGAACAAAGCCCAAGATGTTTTCATCTACATTCACCGCACAAAATTGAGCTGTGATTGAAATCGAGCAAAATCAAACAAATCAGTAAATGATCAAATGAGAAGAGGAAGGGAAAGAGAAGGAGAAGGAGAAGGAGACATACATGGTGAAGAGGTAGTGTCTGAGAGGTCGAATAGAACAAAGGGCCTCGATACTTCGACTTCAGATGATTCAGAGACCTCGAATAATTGAATCGGGGGTACATATTCTCTAAGACGAGGCTCATAGATAGTACGAAGAAAGTCGGGGTCCTGCATGGGAAAAGGTGGTGGTAAGTTGGTCAAAGGAGGTTCAGTAGGACGAGTAACGTTAATCAAAGGAGCCCATAAACAAGCGATAGGTGGAGAGATGGCAGGATAAAATCGATGGAGAGGAGTGTCGAGATCTTGGTTACGAGAGCGACGATTCATCATCCAGGATAAGAAATCGATGAAGGAAGAGTAGAGAAAGTAGAAGAGAGGAAAGGTGAAGGTGGTAAAGATAATGTCGAAGACAAAGACGGTGAAGAAGTTGGTGACAGGTGGAAGTTCGAGATGACCAAAGTTTAATAAGGCGGCGTGAAGACAGAAGGCAACGACCAAATAGAATGGAAAAGCGAGAAGACTATCACGAAAGGAAATCTTTTTAAACTGGGGAAGAGGCATTTTTGAAATCGGAGAAGTTTGTTAAGTGAGTTTGGAAGTGAAAGGTAAAGAAAAGTGAAAGGGGGATTGGAGGAATGGAATCGGGAGTTGGTGGTACGGGTGATGAAGCGAAATTTGGATCGCTCTGAAAGATGAACGGTATTTATATGGCTCAGATACTGAGTTTCCGGATCAGCTTCAACGCGCGTCACGTGAGTCATTGTTTTTATTTGGATCATAAATACACGCGAATAAAATACAATTGTACTGATTGACGCGAGCTGATCAGTCTGTGTCGGATAGCAAGACAATAGGATCGACTTGATGTAGTTGGTTTGGACTTTTTGGCCATAAGAATGTTTGGCACCCTTGTCCAATCCTTCAAGTAAAAAAGTCAAGGCTGATGATTCCAGCCAAACGATAACAACAACGAGAGAGATCTCAATTTCAATGTACGTATCCAACATGATCATCACAAAACATAGCAAAAGGTTGAAATGATGCATCTCCAACTGCATGAGCTCCTTCCGCGTCAAGCTTAGATATTGATACCAATGTTTTTCTCGCGTCAATTCTCTCTCCTGTTGTCAAGAACTTCAACTCCCTAGCTTTGTAGATCCAGAAACAAATTTTCTTTCATAAATAAAAAGACAGCTACTTCCATGACTTTCCGAAAATCCTCCCTCACATTACCCGACCTCCAGAAGGAAAAGAATATTGGACCATGTGATTATGCTTCCCTCACGCACGACTAAAGACTTCTTGCAATAAATTTTATGTACGCTCAGCATTAAAAGTAATCCCATTGAACAGCAAGATTTTGTTTATTGAAATTTATACAAACAAGGAAAGTCGACTTTACCATTTCATATAACAGCGTCGATGAAGAAGGAAGTATTGGAACGGAAGACTTCTCGGATGGAGGAAGAGAGGGATCAGGCGTTGGAGAGGGCCAGGCCAGCAGCGTCAAGGGGTGCAGAGTAGATTTTGAAGTCGGATAAGCTGAAGAAGATAAAAGCGGATATTGGTAAATATTCTTTGGAGGATGAAGACAAAAGTGATGATGATTGATCGGATGACGGTGAAGAGAAGAGCGTCAATGCGAGAAAGAAGCTCAAAGGATGGAAAGTGGAGCAGAAGAGGATGGAGATCATAGAAGAAGATGGTTCAAGAGATGAGTTACGGTCAGATGGAGATATCACATATAATCTGAGAGTAAGAAATCAGAGTAAGGCCATTGATAAGTTGATTAAGAACTTGATTTCCCTAAACTTATCATTTATAAATCGAGAGCATAGTATATAATATATCACTTGGAAAGACATTTATAGAATTTTTACGTGGTTGGTTTATTGGATCATTGAACAGCACTGGCAGAACCTATCAAATGATGTAACAGGTACTGTGTTGTCTACTTTTTCAAGCACTTGTTACAGCGCAGTAAAGGATCGTAATGTTGGAGTTGTGGAATAATTCTTACCCTTGTAAAACATTGAATTTCATATCTCTGGCTGAGATTTGCCTTCAAGGTGCTGTTATCTTTTTTTGCCAAGAAGTTGATCTTTGATTCAAACAAAAAAACTTGAACATTTTCTGGCTACCTTACAATTAGAGTGTCTTCTGTATGCGAGATTTGTGGAGAGAAAGATTAAATAGAGCATAAGCAAACAAGCCCGTCCCCAGTGCATCTGGAGAACTTCTAAACATCTGGTCAAAAGATTCTGTAAACTACAATTAATTGAGCATTATTCCATGAATCCACTATATTCAAACTTATCCTCAGTGTAATCCACACCCACATCCTTCATTCTTGGAGCTACTTTACTTCAATCATCAAATTAGTAAAAATCAGAAAAATGTCAATAAGCCTAAGTTCATCTCACCAAGGGTTTGCAGTATTTTGAGAAATCCAAGCGGATCTTGATTGATTGATTGTATCATGGTATAGATCAAATGGATGGTATTTGCCCAGATGAGCTTCCAATGTTCACTTATCTCTTTTCTTTTGATCTACGGAATCCCATCTTGATCTCTTTATTCTTTTTTTTTCCAGCTCTCCGCACTGGAATTTTGTGAGGTTTGACACTTGTGAGCGAGAGAAAGGGAGTTTGTTATGAAGTTCAGGTGATCTATCAACAACCTCCACCTTAAAGTCAGCCAAGTAGAATAGAAAAGAATTCAACTTCTCATTTTGGGAACAAAACAAGTCAATATCTTTGCAAAGAACTTGAAGAAATTCTATACAATCAAACATTTTGATTCTTTCTTCCTCAACTTCACTTAAACTTTGGATGTGTATTCACACTATTTGATAATTATTTCAATTCAAGCTTTCAAAAAGTTAGATCAAATCTTCAAATCTTCATTGGTTGGGGTGACAAAGAGTAAATTCATCCAAATTTTAAGCGGTCAAAAGGTGTATGAGCCAATAAGTGAGCTCCTCTCTCTCAAAAAAAATGCCAGCAAGTCTGCAGGCTGATCCCACACGAAGATTTCATCTCATGATCAGTTGAAAAGTTAGGGATAATAGTGATCAAGAGGTTTGGATATAATATTACAGTGATGAAAATATTTTACGATCTTAGATCGGGCATATTGCAGTATTCAGATAATCGGTGGTTCATTGAACATCAAGAGGCTCTGTATGCAAAATCAGACACTCATCCAATTCCCCTTTGAAAAGTGTCATAACAAGAAATATTCAAGTATAAAGAAACTTTGCTATGTAGTTTGGCTTGTCTCTCTTCAATATGTAAGATAATTTTGTCGTAAGAAAACTCAATGAAACATCAAGAATTTCAAAAGGGTTTCTATGAAGTTTTGATTTGAAATAGTTTTCATTTCTTTTTATTTGAAGTTGATTTTTTGATACCTAAGATGTTCTTAGCATTACCTTCACCATAAAACGTATGAGAACTATTGCCTGACATCCAATCTAAATCATCAGTAGAAGTCCCAATCGGTTCTTCTTCTTTCGAATTTTCTGAAGTCGATGATGATGATGCTGATGATGGGTTTTGATAACGTCTAGTAAACCGACCGACTCTACCGGATTGATCTGCATCTGCTACTTCTCTTGCAAGTGAAGGATTCCATAAAGGATGATTGGTGACATCTCTTACTAATGTATGATTTGATTTTGGAGAACTAGTGACCATTGTAATTGAAGATCCATCTGCTAAAGTGACCTAAAGATGGAAAAGAAAAAGTTAATGAATTATTTGAGTGACGTGTTAAAGAGATTGAATGAATTGGCTACTCGACTTTGTTTGGAAATCTAGCGGGAGTTTGAGGATAAAGAATCGAAGGTGATCTATCTGGTCTTGGATAAGCTATTCTTAATTTACGTTTCTCACGTCTATTGAAGATTGGAGCAGTAGGATAAACTATTTGAGGTGTTGATGAAGAAGTGGTTGTGGTTGAGGTAAAGCTTCGAATGGATTGAGTGATGAGATTGAGTCTTTTCATGATCGATATTGGATTGAGTTGAGTTGAGAAAGAGAAAGAGAAAGAGAAATTTACAAAAGACACACACAGCACTTGTAATCACACATACATATCACATAGCTGTCACTTCTAGCTCATCAGATGTTACCAATCTGTGACATGATCGATGATGATCTCATTGCAAAACAAGCAATCAGCTCAGCAGTCAACAAGCAGTCAACAAGCAACAATCAGCTCAGCAACAAGCCATATCATGGAATCAAATCAAACTATCAACTCATTAAATCAAGACTTAATCTCAACTGACCATCATCAATCAAATCAAAATCAAAATCAACTCATTCCAACTGATGATTCATTCCAATTCGATTCAAATGATTATTCTAATTTACAACTACCAACTCAATCACCATTAACTCATGAACTCTTTAGAACAAACGATTTCAATCCAGACGAATTCTTATTATCAAGAAGACATACATCTTTAAATGAATTAAGAAACGAATTGAGAACGTATCTAAATGATTTGAAATCCGAATTAGTTGGATTGATAAATGAAGATTATGAAGATTTTATTGGTTTAGGAATGGGATTGAGAGGAACAATCGAAAGAAGTATGATTCAAATTAAAAAACCAATTGAAGATTGTAAAGAACAAATCCTCGAAATCAAACTCTCATTCGAAGATCAAAAACTTCAACTTGAAAACTTATTAAACGAACGGAGAAAAGTGATTGATGGTAAAAACCTATTGAAGCTCATGTTAGATTGTCATGAAGCAGTTTGTAAAGTAGAAGAAATGTTATCGATCAAATCTAATGATCCATCTTCAAGTCCAACTCATCATCATTCTTTAAACCATCATCATTCGATCAAATCCACCAAATTCAATCCATCCAAACCCTTGAATGATTCTTCATTTGATGATCAACTTCATTTTATTCAAGAAGATACCAAACGAATCGAAAGAATCGTATTTGAATTTAATCAAATGCTTTATTTGGTGTCTAAAGCTTCAGATTTGAATTATGTTTCTAATCTGAAACCACGCATCGATCAAATCACTCAAGTCTTACATCGTCAATTAGATTCATTACTTGGAAACATTTTAATCTCACCTAAATCTGATTTGAACAAAAAAGATCGATTGATGGAATGTTTAAGAGCTTATGAAACTTTAGGAGCTGTTAAAGAAGCTGAAGAGTTGATCAAACAAGAATTAGTGTTGCCTGGATTAAGAAAGGTATGTAAACTTTGTCATTATAATCATCAAAGATTTCAACTTCTTAATGATGCTCTTGTTTTTTTCAGTTGATTCATCAAAACTCTTTGAATTCGGGTTCAAGATCACCTGTTTTACCTAGATCACCAGAATCTACAAGGTTTCCAAACTGCCATCGACCATCTTCTCCATCTTCTTCGAAACAATTCTTACCATCATTATCATTCACACCTTTACCATTACCTGAAGATCCTGAATTGGTTCCATTACCATTAATGTATAATAAGATCTTAGCTTTCATTACTCGTGATTTACATTTAGTTATAGATATTGCTGATCGACAAATCTCCGGTATAAAACATTCTAATCATCCTAACACTGAAGAAAAAACTTTAAATCCAAAATCAAAATCATATGAAGTTTTAATCAATTCAATCATTTCACCAATCTTACAATCAATTTCAAATACATTAGGACCTCAAAACTTATTCGCATCTGGTAATCCCATGAACTTTCATCGAAATTATTCGACTACCACTCTTTTCCTTAACCAATTAGAATCTTTTTGTTTTACAAATCGCCAATTGATTTCACTTAGATCTCATCAAGATTGGATTGAATTTAAAAACCGTTGGCAAACAGCTGTTTATGCTCAGATCCGTACTAAAGAAACGATTGGTAGGGTTGAAGAAGGTTTAGCGGACGGAAAGGCTGAGGCAAATGTTGGGAGTGGGTATCTTTTGAGGGCGACGGAAACGATTGGGACGGTGCTTGAGACTCTTTGGCGTGATGATGTGTTTTTGGTGGATCTGACTCATCGGTTCTGGAGGTTAACCTTGATGGTGAGTTTGATCTTTCGTCTCTTAGATCGGATGGCTTATTGATCTTGGGTTCTTGGGATGAAATTTGGTTCTTAGACTCTTTCGAGATATTCAACATGGATTTCAGTTGTCACTGTACCGTTTATTTCATCGTCATCAACTGCGCTTGCAGCTCCAAGTCATCAATCTTCCAACAATCGAAGCTCATCAGACTTCAATCGGGTCAGTCTACTACACACATAAAAAACCCACTCCATCGTGATCGAAATAAAACCCCGAGAGTGGACAGACACGGTACTGATTGGTACGTGTTTTGATGAAACTGTTTGGGAATTCGAAAACAATCACAGTTGACAGGTACATCATCCATTAATCGAACTACACTTTCTCGACCTAGTACTCCATTAGGAAACTCTACGAATGAAGAAATAAGTGAAGATGAAAGTTTAAAACAAATGTCAAGGATTATGTTGGATATTGGAAATTTGAAATCAAAGGTGATCTGTTTGTTTAAGCAATCGATTGAAATCAAATTACCTAAAGTGATCATTGGTCCGAATGGATTGAGTCCTGAAGGTAAGCTTTCGAATCTTTGTCAAAATTAATCTGTGGATCTTGATTTTGAAACTTATCTTTGACTTTGATTTTTCTGGATTTAATGATTAGATATTTTGATGGGAATTTTAGAAAAATCAACTAAATTCATACCCGAACTCATTACCAATACATCTACAATCATCATCAAAAGGTGTTCAGAAAAACTAAGGTTAATCAGATCGATTGGATCGACTGTAAGATTAAATAAAAAAGTACCAGTGACGTTTAATTATTTTATACCTGAGATTTTAAAACCATTAAAAGTTTATATAGAAAAAATCCAATTATTAGAAAAGATGAATGAACAAGAAGAAGTTTTAGATCAGATTAAACGTCATTCAATTGAAGAAGTAGGTCAAAGGTATTTACAAATCTTGATGAATTTACAAAAAAGTGAAGAGTCTTTAAAGAAATTAAAAAAAGGTAAAAAAGGATTTAATTTGTTTGGTACTACTACTACTACTAGTCACCAACTTGGAAAAGGGGCGGAAGAAGAAGATGTGAATGAAAGGAATGTTAAGGTTCAGATTAGGTTAGATGTGAATAGGTTTTTGGAGGATTTAGGTGACTTTGGATGTAGGTTTGATGAGTTTAAATGTTTGATTGAATTGAAAAAAATGGTGGAAGGATAAAAAGAAAATGAAAGAAAAAGTGAAAAAGTGAAAAAGAAAAAAGTTGATGGATTTTTTTTTTTCGAAAAACTTTTTTGGAATTTGTTGTGAAACGGTTTTGGTTTCGATTTTTTTGTAGCATTTTGGTTGGGTTTATTTTTTCCTATTTTTTTATTTTTTTTGTTAAAGCAAAGAAATTGAGTGATGGATGATGATGATGATTAAACGAACTTGATTTGTTTTTCATGTATATGGTTTTGAATTGATGAAGAAAATAAACCAAACCCAACCAAACCCAATCGCTTATGTAGATCTCAATTTCATAATCTGAGTGATCTCTTCTTCTCTTTATGGGGGAGGCAAGAGGATTGCCAGTTGATTACAACATGTCTCTTTTCTTGATATCGAGTTGATATTTCTCAGCATCCAATCGAAAGACTGTACTCTCTCTTTCTCTCCCTCTCTTGAAGCTGTCCTTTGAATGTAGAATAATACCAACATTACATGTTCACATTGCTGATCAAATTTGAATCTTACATCCTCAAAGCATTTAGACAATTCATAATGATTTCGAAAAAAAAAGAATCGAACAAAGTCAGAAAAGAAGAAAATGAAGAAAATGAAAAAAATTAACTCATCATGATCATATCAACTTAACTTTATTATATACGATTTTTTCCTTTCGCAACAAAAAAAGACACTTCCCAAAAAAAAAATTATATGTACACACATTTACAACATACAGAATGATAAGCTTCTCTAAAGGAGAGAAAGAGAGAGAAAGAGAGAGAGAAAGAGAATTAAGAAATAAACACTCTTCTAATCTCATCCATTCCAAAGACTTGTCCAGTCTTAGGACACCTAATCCTACCTTCATCACGTTCGGCCAATTTCTCAAGTCCATCTCTAGAATAAACTCTACCGTTAGGTAAGACAGCCAATCGATCACCATCTTCTACTACTCTACCAGTCAAACCACAAACGATGATGGAATTTAAATGATGTGACCAAGGACATTCTTTGGCTAAGACTCCTAATCCGTTCGAATCACAAACCGGACAATCTGAATTGGGTGATGAACCTATTGTTGGTAAAGGTTTAGGTGAGTTTAAGTTCGAAAGTAAACTTGGATCATAGTTTTGGGATGTAGAAGAAGAGGTGGTGTGATGATGACGATTGATAGGCAGTGAAGATGAACGCATCTCGATATCTTCAGTGTTGGAAGCTTTAAGACTTGATTCATCATGGATGATTGACTCGGGTGTGGGTGTTACTGAATAACAGGCTGGAAGTTTGAGAGCAGCAAGACCAACCGAAAGTGATAAGTGAAGGAATGGTTGATCAGGAATCGAATGAACTGCGAAAAGTGTGGCTCGAAAGCTGGCATGTAAATCAGACCAACGGCTTGGATCATAAAGTTTCTGTAAGATCAAGTCAGCGAAGTACTCTTCGATTGAGATAGTAGATTTCAAGGATCTAATGACTTACTGCGTATGGAGGACAAGTGGTGTTAGAGTCAAAAGCAAGAAGTGTCACTCCTTGAGCAATCACCGACATATGAGTTTGTTTCCAAGGTAAAAGTTGTTTAGAGCTATAATTTAAAGCTTCGATAAATCGACGACTACGAGCCAATTCAATAAACTCTTGAAAACGTAACTCAAATTCCAAGGTAGACTATAGGAAAACAGAGACATCTGTTGGTTAAGAAGAAATCAATTTGAATTTAACACAAAGGTAGCTTACCTGCATCTTTTTCAGTGCTCCTGCGTTCTCTTTACACCATGCTAATGCTTCTGTACAGCTATGTGCCACAAGAGCAGATTCGATTCTTGACAGCTCAGCAAATAATGGACCGTCTACTAAAGCCTATACGAAAGGTGATATTCATAATGATCAAAACCGAAGCCCATGATCAACAAGTGTAATGCTCAAAATCTGAAAACAATAGACATACCTCAATACCAGCGGTTTGACTTAAAGATTGTGCAGCTTCAGTATAACCGGACCTGAGCATATAATCTACCATATGTCGATCAAGCCTAGTTTGAGAAAAGTTCTTGTACTATTGTGAATGTATAATACGAAGAGAAAAATGAACGATTTCGTAAGTTACGGGGGTTGATGATGATATGTCTACAGATGATGAGTTTAAAAGGTACCGAATCAATGAGTAAACTGACTAACACATGGATCACTAGTATGTTCAGCAGAATATAAATCTTGAAGATGATCTAATCTAGCTTTGATTCGACCTAAGACTTGACCAGTACCATGTTGAGGATGATCATAAGTCTCACTAATCTATTTTTCAAAGAAAAGAAAAAAAAAACAAGAAATCAGAAAAGGTTTAATAGAAAACTTCAAGTAAAAGGTATTATGAAACTTACCTTTCGTTTTAATCCACGAGCTTTGAGTAAGAGACCATCAATAGCTTTAATCGTTTCTTCTGATCCGATTGAATTCTGTTCGTCTGATGAATTCACCTTTGATAATGTTTTACTAACATCTCGAAGACTTGTATTGAGTTTATCAAAATCACGTTCTAAGAGACGTTGAGTTGATCGAAAAGCACTTCGAAGATTATCAGATGGGACCTATGTGATCATCATCGTCATAATAAAGGATAGGTCAGTTTTAAGAGATCATCAAATAAAGGTAAATGAATGAATTGAATTACCTTTAGGAAGGGTTGCTCTAGTAAAAGGATATCATCATGTTTGATTCGGTTTGACATTTCTCATCCAATTGAATTCTGAATGGTAATGTTCAATAGCTTGAAGAAAACAGAAAGCGTTGATCATCAACAACCCAAAGCTCAACTGAATCCAATCATCCGGATTACCCGAAGATCATGAACCGGAATATCGGATATTCAGATTTGAAAGCATACTCAGACATACACCCGCGGGGCCAAGACTCAAGCCATCACGGGGGATGGAAAAAAAGGCTTTCCGCTTTCCAGGTCAAATTTTCGACATTTTAGCCAGAAAACATCAAGAATTCACCAAGATGACCTCAAATCATTCTCAATCATCTCACGGATTCTTCACAGTAGACCAACCTAACTTTCCACCACCATTACTTTATCCTCAATTCGCAGAACCCACCATCTATTTACCAACTTCTGAACCACCGATTCGTTCAAACTTATCAACTATCTCTAATTTCAATCATCATCAAGAGTTTAATGAATCTTCTCAAAATCATCCGTCTTCATTACTTCTTAATTCACTTTCGACACTTGGAAAAGATGGCGATGTTAAGTCGGTTAGAAAGGAATTGTGTATTGTTTTTGAAGAAGTGGAAGATTTGATTCATGAGACGGATGTGGTGTTTAGTAGTATGTAAGTCATGATTGATGATGATGATATCCTTTAGGTGACTTTGAATTGATGGATCTTTTGGGGGGTTCTTTGATAACACGAGAAAAGTGAACAGATGTATACTTCAGATCCATCACCTACTCTAACGTTTGAAAGATTAAAGAATTTATTAACAAGATTTGAAAAATTGATTAATGAGATCTCGTTAAGTGGATTTGGTGGATTACCCATCGATTCACTTTATAATCTTCATACACTACTCGATTCTAAAGAACGAGAAGTTCAAGAGCTTTATGTCGAACGACAAAAAAGACGTGATGGATCGAATATCGTGATGGGAATCTTACAGTCTTCGAATAATTCCAATGGGAATACTAATCCACCGGCTATCTTGGTCACTGGAGACTCTGGTGTGGTATGATCTTTCGGTATTGGAATCGATCACTTGGACACATGGAACATTTCTTGGCTTACGGATCAAGGAACTACGATAGACATCACCCATCGAGCATAGTCAACATGATGAATCATTGGCAAAACATTCAACATATTGACCATGAATGCTACCAAAGCGCGCGAGAAGGTTGTACTCAGCTGGATCACATTACATAGGCTCAATGATCGAGGACGAAACTGACCTCAGACAAATCCCAAGCATACATTCGTGTTTAGTTTATGTAGTAGGCGAAGTTTTGTAAAATATATAGGTTGATATCCATCTTCAGATTTCTTGGACATACAATTTGATGTATTCATGCGCTGATGGTTTGTTGAAAGAGTTGTTATTCTGTAATGTATATCACCATTCCCTTTAAGTATCTTTCCAAACAATCTGCTGAGATCATGATCGCAAGTCCAAAATCAAAGCCCTAGCTGTGCACAGATAGAAACATACAAGATGTTTTACTCCTTGTTTTTTGGACAGCTTTCAAACTACCTGAAGCAGAGGGCCATAAGTAAGTATACGCCTATTGAACTTATCATTTTTATGAGATTTTCATCATCTTTTGTGAATTGATTTCGGACTTTGCAATAACTAGAAGAAATGTATCGAGGCCAAGCCTTCTTGAAACAAGCTCAAAAATCTGACACCGTGATATAATTAGTACGTCTGATAATCTTGTGATATGCAACATTTCCTCACTTCACCTTTTCCAAGTGCAGTCAAAGCGCGCATTCATCATATCAACCCCTCCGTTCTCCTTGGCATCAGCTTGTACCGTACTCATGCCGGGGTTTTGACTTGGTAAGTTTGCTGAACAAATTTATTGGCCAGGTAATTTGCATTAAAACCTTTCTCTGACGGTATCTTTCCGCCTTGGACTTATTGTTAAACAGGAAGGGATGGACGTGGCAAGTAGCAGTGTTCACAGACCAATTCTGCATGCCAATCGTTATATCTAAAAGACCGCAGGTAGCCGCGCCCATCTTCTTATGAATTTGGTCTTTCCTGTAAGCATTTATGCTAGAGAGTCTCCTATAATTTCCCTTGTATTTTTCACCACCAACTTTTCTTTTCTTCCTACACTTTAACCAAACTCATTCTAGCTTCCATTTAGATCATTGCCTCGTGTATATCTGTATATCAATTTTGATTCGAGATCATTTATAATCTTGAACATACTTTTTTGTCCAAATCAACCCATTTATTTCACCTTTTTTTATCCCAATCATAGAAGGACTCCTTTAATCTTTTTCATAACTACCAAGAAAAAATATGTTATCTTATCTTTCACCTCGTTTCATGACTCTTGCTTTACTCATCACAATGATGTTTGGAGCTTATAATGGAATTCCATGTGACAACACATTACAAAATGAAGCAGGAAGAACGATAGAAGAAGGACCGAGACCATTGAATGATTTACCTTCAAGTCAATCAGAATCTCAAGATTTCACTCCTGTAAGTTTGATTCGAATTCTTCTTGGATCATATATCATCGTTTTTTCTAATCAGATCTTTTTCTTTTTTGAAATTCATTAGCTTCGAAAACAAAGACCTGTACAAGATCGACTGGTCCGACGAGAAAATGGATCTATGGGAGGATATTATACTAAGAAAAATCATTGATCGTGGGGTTGGTCACTAACGGTGTCGGAAATTCATGGCACATCGAATGATGGACATCTTGATCACTTGACAAGCATCATACCAATATCTCTTTTTGATTTCTTTGATAGAAAAATTTGTATACATCAATGTAAAAAGCATGAGTTGAGACAATAAAGAATATTCATCAGTTTCAGTAGAAACTTCTTGACAAAGTCCAACTGGTTTTCCAATTAACGATATCAACAAGCAATGATCATTGGGAAATGATAACGAAAGAATGAGTTTTTGAAAATGATGATTCTTCTAAACTCCGAAGTAAAAATCGAACAAAAAACCTTGCAATCTCTCTCAAAAACCTGGAAAGGAATGTACTTGATAAAAAAAGTCACTATCTTGGTGGAATAGAGCAAAAGTGTTTCCAAAGAAATTCTTGATCAAGTGAGACTACGACATCTTTTTTTCTTCATCGAAAGTTTTCTCTAACAAGCAAAAGTCAATGAACTTTTTCTAATTCTTAATCTACATGATCTATTAGTGACCCATCCTAAAATCGCTCCACGACTCATCACACCTGAGCAAAAGAAAGATTTAAACAAGATCACCTTTCCCTCTAAACCTTTCAATTTCAACATTTCATCTTGAAAGAAGATCTACTAACCTTCTTCACCAACACTGATACAATCACCCTTTCTACAAATATTTTTAGAGAGGAGAAGGATTGGAGCTATTGAATGTGCGTATGCTAGAGTATCATATACTCAAGAAAGCGTCTTTATCTTGTTAAAAGTAAACTTCGCCGCTGAAGCTATACCAAAATCGTATCTTGCCCTCATTTCAGACTTCTAAATTCAAGTCTTCAAATTAGATGACATTTTACTTTTCGTCCTCTTTTTTCCGTTCGATTGAGGAGAGTACTTCCATCGGTGCGGACCTTCTAACAGGGCAAACCGCAACTGTAGCTGGACCACGCAATCACAATATTTATCAGCTACTCCGCTGTCTCATAGGTGCACAAGATTTATACAAAAGTACCAAAGTACAACCTTTTATTGTGCTGTAGGAAGTTCTTGGTAAGATGTCATAGAGAATCTATAGCAACTCTTACACTATTGGTCCCAATTTGTTCTACTTACAATGATGGTACTATGAGCTTTTTCGAGCTCAGGAACACAGTTTTGTCGAATATAGTCAATGAGCTCAATAGTATCTTTTATAGATTCCTCCACCGAATTTTCCTGATAACTTTCAAATGTTTCATTCCGATCCATCTAGAACCACCAAAAAACAAAATATCAAATCAACCATCGTCCTTAAACAAAAAAAACCAATCTTTCTGGGTTTTTTGCGGTTCAACTCACATTACATTTTCCAATAAATGCACGTTGACCAGCATTAAAACAAACTTGACTTAAAACTTTAGAAGCCGAAGATGTATCGAACTAAAATAACAACAAGTAGTTGTACCTGAATTCAATACTCTTTTCGCCACTTTTTCAAAAATCCTTTGTTAATGACCATTAGATGAATACTTTGTTTCTTCTAAAAACGTTATATTCTTAAGCCAATCAAGTACTGAACCGTCATCAATCAATCAAACAAACGTAAACCAATGAGGTTTAAGCGGTTTGATTGGGATGAAAGTTTTCGGATTAGATACTCACATTTGTATTGTTGTCCAACTCCTACGTTCGTGTACTGTGCAGCATCTAAAAACCTCATAAAGATCTCATTAAACATCCAAGCAAACCTTTCCAAACCCCATGAAAAAATCAAGAACTCACGAGTATGAGTATCAATAAAGCCAGGAATAAGAAACTCTCCATTTCTCAATCTAATGAATCTCAATCGATTAACATCTTCCTCTTGAATCCATTTCTTTTTCAATAAACGTTGAACCGCATCACTTTTTCGATTCCATTCTTGATTTGTTAAGTTTTCTTTTTCGATCCCAATGATCTTTCCATTTGAATTAAAAACGATTAAACCGGTTTTGATGATTTCCAGGTCTTCTGGTGAGATCGAATGGATGAAGGATCCTATCAAGATTGTTATTGTTCCGGACTGTTTTGACACTCAATTGAGAGGTTTAGTGATGATCGATTGAGATAGGTGTGTGTGTGTGAGTAGATTTAAGAAGAAGAAAAGGGTGATACAGAATTGACTTACATTCAGTTGGATCAGATAAAGTCGAGGTACCAGCCGATTTACGAGCTCGATCACGAGCACGTTGTTTGGCGCGTCCCTTTTTGGTTGAAGTTGAGATGGCAGTAGAAGGTGTTCGATGTGATGGAATGATCGGAGTGGTTTGTGACCCGCTTTCTGAATCTGATTCGATTGATTCGACTGCCACTAAACTCACCATGACAGAGATTGGGTCAGTATATTTATTATGGAACGATGAGTTGAATG